GCTTTTGCAACTGTCGGTCCATAGAACAAAAGGCTTGCAAAATCGCAATATAAGCCCAGAAATATGTAGTATGTGTAACAGTGGGCTTACATAATTATCAAAAATAAATCAATAAATAAATAGACAGAGTGAGATACGAATTGGAGAAAAACTGCTGATATGCAGAATAAGCAAGCAACTTAAAGATAATAATAATAATAATAAACATTTTTTGTCTCATATTTACATGTATTGCCCTTATTCTTGGTTTATTGATTAATAAAACTACTCCCATAAATTCAAACGTCCCATTTTATGCTGATTAAACCATTGGCGAAACAAACATAAACCAAGTTCATAAAATTATTAGAGAATAAAGCGATCATTTTTTTCCTGTGAATAATTTAAAGATTTGCAGTCAGTGCTTTCTACTGCACCCTAATCGTTTAAGAACTACAGCACGGGTGCAGGTGTATGAAATAGCAAGTAACAGTTGTAAGCCATAATGCGACATCTCCAGGTTTCAAATATATATATATATATATATATATATATATATATATATATATATATATATATATATATATATATATATATGTTCGCCTGCTTATAATTGTCATTTATTACTTTACTGGCCAGAGTGCGTTTACTTGACAAAGAAAGAAAAAGTAAAGCACAATATAGGAGATTTCAATATTCATCATAAGATGTTCTGATATAAACATGCGTACGGTACAACCTAAATTACTGAATGAGATAACAGAGAACGTGAATATTGTAAAGGGATAGATAAAGTCGACTTAGGAAAATATGTGTAATTATAACCAACTGAGCTTATGAAAGGTAATATAGCACATGTATACAGGTCGGAATATAAATGCACATAGGGTCCAGTACGTGGCAAATGACCAATGTTTGTTTTCCTTTATAAGTACTGTATTTTTCAAGCTCATTATATGCTGTCCATTTTCATTTTTTAGATAAACCCCATAGTGTTTTGTACAGTTTAGTACTCTTAAAACTACTGTGCGTGTCATTCGGTTTCAACTACAAAATGTGAAGGGGCATAATTTAAGTTGTCGAAGAAGCCAGGAAAATTAGTTACTTGTTTTGTTCACCAAAATGTTCATAAATTGTTCTCGCAAAACCTTTGTTTCAACTTGCTGGCGCTTGGAGATCGAATTTTGGCATAAAATTTTCACCATTGTGAGAATTTTTTGTTAAGTTTTTTCAGTAATGCACGTTAATTATAAAAATTCTCTGAACTTATTTTAATTTGAAGTTTTAATAATTAGACGTTATTTTATTGTATTATCTGTATTTATCATCGCTGTTATTTTTTCTTGATATTTTGATACCATCGCTATTGAAGTTTCATCGGCTCTAATTTGTTTGTTCATCTGTTTGTTAGTGGAAAAGGTTCATTCGTACTTTGTACGTTTTGATGATCAAAAGAAAATAAAAATGGAATAGGAATGATAGTAAAGCAGAATTTATGGTAATCACCCAGCCACGCTATAAACACTTAGCTGAAAGGATATCTATACAAAGTGGATCTTCATTAGTAAGGCTTCACCCCATGCAAAAATTTGGGAGTTTACTTTGATGGATGAACAAATAGCCAATCTAAACCAAATCGTTCATCATATGAGAAACAACAGCACTCTGCGCAACAATCTGTCTACCACTGTAGTTTATTCCATAGTATCTTCAAGGCTTGATTACTGTAACGCCTTGCTCTGTGGTTGCAGAAAAATAATTTTTGACCACTTTTACATCTGGCCCAGCTAGGCGAGTCTCTAGACCATGAAATTTATGCTCTTATTTAATGGCCCTCCAACCTTTTTGCAAACCTACTTGTACTTGAATGTCATTTGTATTTTCAAGTATATGCGAGTTCTGTTAGATCAGAGCCTCACGTTATCATCTTGTAGGGATCGCTCAAATGTTTAGGAACTGATGACTCAATTCATTTTACGAACTATAAAGGGTAAAAGTATTCGACATCGTTTTGGTCATTTTACATCACTGTGGTGCATGTTTTATGACGCGTATTGGGAAGTCGTGAGACCATGTTGGAAAATGTTGGGAAACCGATGCATATGTGACTTGTCAATACCAAAAATATCCAAAGAATTTGTGAATATAAAACGATAATATTTTGAACAATATCCAAAATTTTTAAATAACGTATTTACAAACGTCAGTGAGCGTAATATAATTAAGTCCCTGCAATCTTTGTGCAAAACGATATGGCACCATTTGCCACTGGTATCTACACGGTATTCGTTTTCAGTTGTATGTATCTGTCTGTATTAATGATATCCATGCTTTTTATTTCCTCATTCGGGGTAATAAATTGTATTTGTATTTTAATTCTCTCTCTGGGAAGGAATAGCCGACAGCAGTATCGCACGTTGTAGTGCTCATTATAAAAATTGACCATAAACAATTGTTGTCATTATCGTCAGGGTTGGCTTTTTTTCCCTTTACGTATATAAATTTCTGCGAGGTTCAGAAACTGATGACTCAATTCATTTTACGAACTATATAGGGTAAAAGTATTCGACATGTTTCTGATCATTTTACATAACTGCCGTGTATGTTTTATGATGCGCATGTCTTGAAAGCGCATTGTGTATTGACCAGTCAATAACAATTATAAAAAATATTATTTCTTATACAGCGCATTCCATGATGAAACATTTTACAGGTATACAATACAATATTCTTTAAATTAGTACTAAAAGAGATATTAGTGTAAAAATTCAAAAACATCAATTTTAAAATCTACTAAAATGTGAGTTTTTAGAGAGAGTTTAAAACGGTGAACCACTTTCAGTTCTAATTAAAAAAGGTGATTGGTTCCACATTTTTGGGACGTAAACAGTAAAAGCGTTGTCTCCATATTATTTGAAACATTATTTCTCTATTTCAGAGTGGTTAAGTATAAAATTGTTGAAAAATTAGTTTAATCTATAGTTTTCCTATTCCATGCGGTTCAAACTGTTGAACAACATCTGCAAGGCAACTTGCTGTTTGTGCTGCAAGGCCTAAAATTGGTTGTATCAATTAACTATTAAAATATAATTAGTAATAAATCATAATTGATTTCCTGTACTTGATTACAAACTCCCTTCGACTTGTGCAGTCCAATGTGCTGGTTTATGAGCATTCGTTGTTATGCTTGATTGTCGTTAATTCAAGATTTTGTAAGTGTAGATGTAGGTTTGTTTTTTGGACACAGTCGACGTTAGTTTATTGATCTAGGAGGGTTTTACCAACCACTGACCCGTAATGAATTTATTTGACATATATAAATGAGCTACTGTCACCAGACATAGTAAAATGCATTGTCGAGACGATAGCAAATTGCTGTAGAAGCCTACTTACAAGACCTAAAAATTAGGCCATCAATTTTTTGTCTTTTTTTAAACATAACGCAGTCTTCTTAATGCCAATGGAGTCCTAGTACGACCGTTTTTTTCTTGGATTATTTAAAAAGAACTTCTCTACAAAAACCGTTGAAATATAATACAAACGAATACGGGCAACAAGATCGAATTTTGGATCAGGTACTTAACTTCTAATCAAATTTAATGTTCGCCTGTGTATGGTTTTGTATAACTGTAATATATATTCCCTCCAAGCATTTTAGTCAAGAGGTATTGCTGCTAGAATATATTGACAGCCGTTTTTGTTATTGTTTGGCGCACTAAATATTTATTCAAATTATATAGCAACTGAACACATATACCTACTATGTAAAATATATAGCAACTGAATGCATATACTGAATTTAAGCAAAATTACGTTCCACTGATTATTTTACAGTGAAAATATTCTTTCTTGAGATTATTATACATGTACATTACTGAATTTTAAATATGTATTATATACCTATTATCATATAATTCAGTATAACTGTATACATATGTATATTAGCATGTATTTTTTTATAACATTCCCTGACAAATTGAAACATGCGTGGCATATGTTTTCTACTGCCCTGGATGGGCGGAGTGGTCAGATAGGTCAAGGTCTTCAGCATTTGAAGGTCGCAGTTTTAGCTTCCTTAGCTTCAAAAGAGTTCATACGTGTTGAGTGCCACACATATCCAAAATATAATAATAATAATAACTGAAAAGGGTTGAAACGTATTAATATTTTCTTTTCAATACCGACTTTTTAATGGGCAATGTTTGAATTGAATTTGAATTCACGAGGAATCTTGTGACAAAAAATTACATTTTGCACCCAGAGAACCTAGGAAATCCTATCTTGGCCATGGTCCAACTGCATGCATGCAAGAATGACAACAAATATTAAGAGTGCCTATTTTTTTCATTCATGGTGTTTCAATTTACCAGATTAAACGAATTATAAAATCTGTTTCAACCAGTGAAACATTGTGGTTGTTCTCATTCAACTTTTACAAATACTTGTGTGGCCTCAGATTAATGTTTGTCTTAGTGCACGGTTAGGTCAAACAATTTTATCGTTATTTATTGCTTTGTTGTCTTACATCATCACAAAGAAGCAGATATTCATCAGCGCATCCATGTTCATTTCACATCACGAACCTTTACATCTTAAATAGTACTGAAAAAAGTTCCCTGGGTTGGTCACTTAAGATTAAAAGGCAACAGGGGACAAAATAATTGTTGCTTAAACTCTATTATGCTACAATTTACAAACCATTCAGCGACGTATTCGAATGTTCTTTTAACTTTTATAGGTATACATATGTAAGCATGTAGGCATATAATATATATGCGTACATGTATAGGCAGAAACAGCCCATTTGACCACAGTGTTTTATATGTCATAAGAAAGATGCCGTAATGGTATTTATGGAATGTGAAGCTTATTTTGATACATTATTCTTTTACAATTAGCGTATAGGCCTACTGGATTTGATGAAGATATTGGGCGGGATAAGATTTTTACCCTCTATTTCCTCTAATGGACTACCGAAAAAATCTTTTGTGTGTTTGTATCATTTGTTTTCATTATTTTAGTCAAAGTCAGCCGCCAATAGAGATGCGACAGCGTAACAATACGATGTCTTCGGATAATGGGGAGGTATATAAAGTCGACCGCGCCATCTATCGACAAGAAGTGTTTGATGAAACCCATGGGTTCACAGGGACTCTCCCCACGCCTATGAAAACACGCCTAAAGAAAGCGCTTATATCAAGATGCAGCTGCACAGCAAAGAAGTTTATCATGCATCACCTGCCTTTCATCCATATTTTGAGGTATTACAAGATTCCAAGATGGATCCCCGGAGATCTCATTGGAGGTTTAACAATCGGAATTATGAACCTTCCACAGAGTAAGAGTGCAATTTCATCTACAGAGTTATTGTGAAATAATAACAATTAGATGTTTAATAAGGTTGAACGAATACTGTTTAGCTGCATCTAATGGTCAAGCAATTTTTTCTCCATTTTGATTAAAATTACACAATTCTATGATTTTGCCATCCAGACGATTTTAATACTAGGGATATTTTGATGTGTATCAAATGAATTACATTCGTTAAATAAAGCTGACCATAATAGAGAATTTCAGAAAAAAATATATTCTTTTTCATACCAAAGATCTTTTGATACTTTAATATTTTTAATGTTCAAATATATATTTCATTATTCCATGCAGGTATCTTTGTGATTTTTTAAATATTTCAAATGTATTTAGACTATACAGAGAGATGTTTTTTACCATTTCCCTAGGTATTGCCTATGCCTTATTGGCCAGTTTGCCACCAATCATGGGGCTGTACACAACCTTTTTCCCGGCGGTTTGTTATTTTTTCCTCGGGACATCGCGGCATATCTCTGTCGGTAAGTGGACCAATGTGAACGTCATAAACCATATCGTGTGGCTAACTAGTGACAACATAACACGTGCTGTAGTCATCTCCCTCCCTGAAATCACTGCATTTCTGTTGTCTCATTCAAAGAATGGGTTTATTTATTTATTTATTTATTTATTTATTTATTTATTTCAGGGGAGTTGTTCCAAATTGATATTGATTTATATGACAGTGGCGGATTTAGGGGGGTGTAAGGGGAGTCCTGACCGCCCCCCCCCTCCCTTGGATTTCTGAAAAAATCACACCAATGGTCCCCTCTTGAAATTAGAATTTTTACTAGCTGAATCATAGTTCTAAACCGTAACAAACATTTTCGGGGCCCTTCAACGGGCCCCCCCCCCCCCCCCCCCCTTCAAAGAATCCTGGATCCGCCCCTGACATGAAACGCCATAAATGCATCTCATATTTAGGACAGTAAATAGCGTTCAGTACATACCGTATGTGTTAATCCATTTAAATAAATATAATCCAGTTTATTAAATATTTGTGCCATTATTTGTTTATTCACCGTTGCTGCATTTTTAAGATCCATTTCGTCGATCACTCGATTTGACAAACTATTTGATTTGTTGTGAGGTTGTGAGGATCTTACCTTTATTGCATATACAGGATCTGAGAGTGTCATTGCCTTGATGGTCGGTTCTGTCGTTGAAAGAGAGATTATCAACTTCAAACACAGTGCCATGGCAGAAATGGGAAACAGCACGTCAAATGCCACGGAACTCTTCTCAGATGACCACGATGGCTTTAGCGATGATGACCCAGAACTTATCAAGTATAAGGTTGGCATCGCACTGACCTTGACCTTTCTCACGGGTCTGTGGCAGGTAGGTAGCTAATTCAGGAAAATTCAGTGGTAAACGTTAATGTTAATTGAATGCTTTTTTAATCAGAAGAAAACATAATGGAAACGATTGATCTGTCCAATACACCATGGGTTAACTTTACCGCCCATGGACGTAGAAGGCCAGCTGTACCGATAAACGTTTTCCCCCATGAATCTCGTATCGTTTCTGTTATACTTTGTGCAAGTTTTGCTGCCTCGCTTGCCGCCTGTTGTTGTGGTATCCGGGAGCCGGGGTATAGGGGAATATCCACCGAGTGAGACCTGTGTAGGGTTTTATATTACTAACACGACACCAAGATGTTGGGCCTGGTGAAAAAGAGAGGTTGAGATGGAAATTAAAAGAAACACTCTGTACTCGAGAGGGAGAACCCTCATCCAAACCACGCAGCAGAAACAAGAAAAAAGCAGAAACGAGTATCGTAAGTGAATAACCACTAATTTTACCACTATGCCACCAAACTGCATGTAAACACATGCATGTGGCAAACACTATATGCCTATGTATATTTTACTATACCCATATCATGTATGCTTATACACATATTGAATCACTTATGAAACCGTGATATTTTTCGTAGTAATTCGTATGATAACACACGTGTCTCCTTTTCTTTCTAGTTAGTCATGGGCGTGTGCGGCCTTGGTTTCCTGGCTCACTACCTATCAGATACCCTTATCAGTGCTTTCACAACCGGAGCAGCCATGTTGACTTTCACTTCGCAGATCAAATACGTGTTCGGGATAAAGGTACCCACTCAGCATGCACCCTTCAAGGTTATGAAGGTAAGATGTCTTTGAAATTTGGTATTTTGGGTGGGAAATTCAAAATTGAAAAATTGAAAACTTGAGGTTATTACAGCAGCAGCTTGTGCTCGTTTGCGTTGGTTTTAAGCGATTCATGGGAATTTTATCNAAAATTTGGTATTTTGGCTGGGAAATTCAAAATTGAAAAATTGAAAACTTGAGGTTATTACAGCAGCAGCTTGTGCTCGTTTGCGTTGGTTTTAAGCGATTCATGGGAATTTTATCTGTGGCTAATGTTTTGTAAGAAAATTTTATGTAGGCATTTTGACATATTTTAATAAGATACACACTAGTATAATAACGTCTATTCCGATTACGATAACTATCTGTTGCCTAATCTTTCAGACATATTACCATCTGGCTTTGAATCTTTTTGACACCAATGTTGCCGAACTCCTCGTGTCAATGATAACCATAGCCTCGTTGTTAATAGTGAAGGAGTGCATCAATTCCCGTTGCCAAAGAACCAAACTGAAAATGCCAGTGCCAATAGAGCTGCTTGTGGTAAAGCTGTTTTTTTAATATTTGTGCTACCTTTTTGTGTCGGTGTGTTTTGAATAGATGGATAAATGGATAATTAAAATAGACAAAAAACACAGGAATTTTACAAATAACTTGAAAGTTTATCTACCGCAGCTTTATTGATGAAGTAAGGTGTTGTTATCTGTAGAATGGGCGTTTTGATCCATATGTAGATGATTAGATATCATCGATATGCGCTTTATATACAAAATCCTTGATACATGTTCCACATCATTAAGAGAAGTGAATGCAAACTGTGACTCATGCCCTTTGTCGCTTAAGCACATCTATTGTAGACTTAAAACTGTACCATCATTTGGCATTAAAGCAATCCAAAATGTCCAAATTAAAAAATAGGTATAAAGGCACATTTGATTTACGTACAGAAAGACCCAGAGGATGACTCACAATGTGAAAATCTCATAGCAATTTGGTTTTAAAAAATCTGCATGTAGTATATTGTCTGCGAGATTGTGCAACGTGGCATTTAGGTAAATTGAATAAAGGGATAGATGCAAAAATTCAGAATGTGCCCGATCTCTATAAACTGATACTGACAGATATATTTGACAAAATGCCCGTTGCATACATGTTATACCGGTATGCATTTTGTTATCAATGTTAATTTCATTTTGTGGAATTAAACCTTCACGATACTGACTTATTCCCCTGTTGCGTATATGTTTACGTATTAATATTGCGACTTCAAACGATTTCAGGTTGTTGTTGGCACATTGGTGTCTTTCACGAGCAATCTCCCTGACAATTATGGCGTAGCTATCGTTGGAGATATACCTACAGGGTGAGTAATATATATGCCCTCAGCTATATATAGTTCATTTTGCGGAACAAAAATATGCTAATAGTAATCATAATAATTCATTTTGCAGTACACAGCAATAGCAGTCGTAATACTTGGGTACTGTACCCTATGCTGCAAGTCATACTAATGAATTCATGTCTCTTCAAATTGTATGTTAAAGACTTGGTTTAATTCCCGTAAGAAATACCCATTCCTGCTACTTTGACTTTGCGAGTCAGAGTATCTAAAAATCTCCTCTAGAAAAATTTATAGATTTTACTCTAACCAAGATGTTTAGTACGTCCATACCAGTATTTGTATTTCACATCGCTAGAGCATTTTATTCTTATTCCACTATAGTACGCTCGCGTTATTTGACATTGTGATGTGGCGGAAATATGCTCTTTGGTATATTATTCCCCCCAAGCTCAATGTATGACAATAAGACAACATATAAAACAATGCAGACATGTCCTTAAACATCAAAATTAAAAAAAGGCTTACCATTTATATTGACGAATACTGATTTAACCGAGATTATTTTTGTTCTTGGAACATAGCATTAAAACTTTAACTTTTTAGTACAAAAACCCAACCTTTTTTATCAGTAGGAAAGCATCAATCTTCGAACCCCCATCAGAAACATTGTACTAACTATAAACAGGTGACCTCAGCTAATAAATTATTTATTAGATGGTATGCGTGTTTATTACCTATTTTTTACTCCAGAATCCCCGCTCCCACGTTGGAACCGCTGAATAATCTCCGTTACCTGTGGCTGATTATTGATGCCTTCTGGATAGCTCTGATCTCTTTCACCATCTCAGTATCTCTGGGGAAGCTGTTGGGGAAGTTGCATGATTATGAAATTAATCCTGATCAAGTGAGTGTTTTTTTTTTAATTCCTTTAAAACACAGAACATTTTATAACGTTACCTTAATGTTAACATAACGTTTTTTGGTTATGGCAACGTTATAACAGCGATGTGTGTTTCCTGGGTGGTTGGTGAAACAATAGAGCAAAGTGATACAGACGGAAGCTCTCAAGCCGCTTGACATTTATTTAATATTATTCTAATTTGCAGTACGTTTTATCGTGGATTAGTTTTTTGTTCAAAAGCGATTCTGTATGCACATTAAATAGATTGACAATCGCCAAAAGATATATTTGTATACCCGTTATCATTATATGCTTAAACTTTCCAGACATCTGGCGTCCTTCGATCACTGGAATGTCGATAAGAATTCTAGTCAAGTGTATTATATTAAGATTAGAAATTGAACACAGTTTTTTACGAATATTTTCTGATACATATGAGATCAACAAAAGGAACCAATCTATTGTTCAATTATGTTTTCTTTATATAGATGTCGTTTTGTACTTTTTGGTGAATCATTGGATCATTCTTATTCCAGGAGCTTTTGGCATTCGGCGTGTGTAACTCGGTGGGCTCACTTTTCAGTACTTTCTGTTGTGGAGGTGCTATGTCTAGGAGTATGGTTCAACATTCCATGGGTGTTAACACTCAGGTGCGTATTAAATAGACGGTCCGACGTTTAGTAAACTGAAGAGCCTGAGTAAAGGTTTGAACTAACTTAAAAGCTTAACTTTAGGTTTGTACCGACGTGCTTGCTGATGTATGTACAAACATATATCCACAGATATAAGCTATGCAATCTGTATTTGATATTAATTATTAATTATTAATTTTTTTTTTACTTTCCAGCTGTCGGGTCTCCTGAACAGTATCTTGACTTTAGTTGTGATGTTGTTCGTGGGGCCTCTCTTCCGAACTCTACCTCGTGTAAGTATCCATAGAATTCCAAAATAAGACGTCGCTGAATTTAATAGATCTGTTTCAAGACCACAAAACAATCTGTACCACTCGTAGTTGTTTTTTTTCCGTTTTGAAACAGCACTGTTACTTAAATGGATGTTGTCCTTAATTTCTTTAAGGATCGACGTACATGTAGGAACTTTATCTTTTATATCGTTCTTCCTGTTTCAGTGTATATTAGCCTGCATTGTGTTGGTTGCTTTGAAAGGGATGTTTATGCAGTACAAAGATCTCCCAAAACTATGGAATATATCAAAATATGATTTTGTAAGTATCGAAATATATATATATATATATATATATATATATATATATATACTTGTAATTTGAACTTTGTATTCTATCGTGATAAACAAAAAGCCAGGCTAAACCACCAGACAGAAAGATCATATCAGAATATTATAATCCATAAAACATGTTGTAGCACTTGCAGTTAATGGCACGTTGGATATTAAAAATGAATTAAGATTTACACTAACACATCATGATAGCAGCGATAAAAATATCAAGAGTAGTAAAATTCTCAGAATAAAAATCCCTATTTTGTCATCAAGATGTTTGTATTTGTAGTTAAAATAGAGCTGTCGGAGATTATCTCTGCAATGCAAAGCATCCTGATGGAAATTCATCTGTGTTGTCCGTTAATAATGATTGTGAGCCACAATGCGTCTGGAAGCTTTATATATATATATATATTCAGTTTTGTGTAAAAGGTGAAGTGTTTAAAGTTGGGATCATGACGTAACGGTAGCATCGATGTTATATTTCATTGTTTTCAAGGCTATGTGGATAGTAATGTACCTAGCTGTGCTGCTTCTTGGCGTTGATATCGGTCTTGTTACTGGAGTAGGCTTCTCGCTTTTCACAATCATATTGAGGTCTGCAAGGTGAGTTTATGTGAAATTCATATCTGTGCTTTTGTGGTTCAGTTGCCAAATTATTCCATGACAAAAGGCGTCTCGGAATTTTTCATATTAGCGTTTAATAAACAAAGTGTACAATAAAAATAGGAAGCATACAACATGGTGAATCTGTACATTTTTTCAACTAATTAACTTATAGTTCGCCGTAAACAATATGATACACAAAATCACCAATAACAATTTATCGTTTGTTGTGTGTGTCATATCAACAATCTGTTTCTCCTGATTATTTGGGCAGATTGTTTGTTAGCGTCTGAAAACATGCTATTGATCCAGCGAAATTTTCACTCTTAAGATACAAAACAATCTTCTATTACTAAATAATATTTTGTTTCTATTCCAGACCATACTGTTGTTTATATGGTCAAGCAGATGATTCTGACATATACAGAGACAATACAAAATATGAATATGTAAGTATTCTTCAAGGGTGACCTATGATTTAAATGATGCATTTCAAAAATATTCCCAAAATATTTGAATTATAAGGGAATGGTAGAAACCGGCACATTGATATAAATTAAGCGCCTAAAATTATGATCTTTAATTCTAAGGGTTCTTAATATCTGATTTCACCGCTATTAGGCCCCTATTTCACACAGACCACGAATCCCACGAATCGCCAGAAATTGACAAATTTCAGGATTCGTAAGGATTCGTAAGATTTTGCCAATTTTCTGGTCTAATTCGACACGCTCACGATTCAGTTACGATACAGGTACGATATTGTTACGAATATTCGTTGGATTCGGCTGGAATCGTGAGATTTTGCCAATTTTCTGGTCTAATTCGACACGCTCACGATTCAGTTACGATACAGGTACGATAGTGTTACGAATATTCGTGGGATTCGGCTGGAATCGCACGAATATTGTCCAGAAATTCACTACGATTTTTGGGAATCTGGAGTTCGTGGCCAAAACTTTGAACGGCTCAAATTTTTTGCCACGAATTCCCGATTGATCAAGAATTGCAAGAACTGTCTACGATTATATACGAATCTTTTAAGAACTTCACGAACTGATCACGATTCAACCACGAATCCTGAAATTTTCAATTCCTAGCGATTCGTGGGATTTGTGATCTGTATGAAATACGGGCATCAAAGTTTTGGCCACCAATTCCTGTTGGTCAAGAAGTGCAAGAACTGGCTACGAATATGTACGAATCTGTTAAGAACTTCACGAGCTGATTACGATTCAACCACGAATCCTGAAGTTTGTCAATTCATGGCCATTCGTTGGATTCGTGGTCTGTGTGAAATAGGGGCATAAGCGAAATTTAAAAATCGCTACTTTCGTTTTCAGAGTGATTCAAAATCTAGAAACTCGAAGTCTAGAAAGTGGAAAGTCGTCAATTGCCCAGAAAAATTGAATTTTTTTGTTATAAAAATTAGCCACACTGTGTGAATTCATAATTGATTTGATTATCTTTTAGGTGAAAGAGCTTGATGGAATCAAAATATTTCATTTTGAGGCCTCGTTGTATTACGCCAATGCAGATCACTTTCGTCGATCCCTGTTCAAGTTGACCAATGCAAACCCGCTGGCACTGAAGAAAGATAGGAGGAAATTTGGTAAAAGAAAGCGCAGGTTAGTGCAATATATATGGTTAAATTGAAATGGCATGATTTATTTAAAAAAAAAATGGAAACTACCTAAGAACAAACAGAAATTTTCTTTCATGAATAGCCGTTAAACCGAATAACTGTTGAACATGTCAGTTAAGTCAATAAGATTTTTGTCGAATTCTAGTATTAAACGGGGATTAAAACCACATTTCCCTTAAAATGTATATTTCCAAGCATCGCTGCAATCGTTTTGATAAAGTGTGCTTTTCCCAACATATCAGATTCGAGGAACGCGTGCAGAAGCAGCTGAGGAAGAAAGAAAAAGACAGTGGGAAACAGGACGATAAGAAGCCGAGTGGTTCAGAGAGTCAAACCAACTTGGTATGCAATCATTATTTTGAGAATAGTTTATGCAGCAACTAATGTCCAGCCAAGTGATTTCTCAATTCCAGTATCTGGGTCTGTTTTGGTTCCATGTGAGGTGCTTTTGTTTTTAAGATTGTTTTTAAGTTGAGGATCGACGTGTATTGTGTTATTAAGCGTATTGTGACTTTTCGTTTGCAATAAAAATATAGTAATAATGTCCATGAATATGGGTCACACTAAGTGTTACTGTGTATCGTATAAAGCATGTAAAGATTCTTGTACAGATTTATCGACTCCTTTTGCCAGCAGTTTACATTTTTACTGCATATATCTATTTATCTATATCTCCGTCTGTATGTCTGTTCTTATCTATCCTTACCTACTGGTACCTCTCTACAGTAAACAAACGGAACCTACCTTATCCACAGCACCTTAACTTCCAGAGCTATCATCGTGTTTACACGTACCTTTTAGTACATACCTTTCTATCTATCTATCAAGCTACCTACCCACATGTACCTACCCAGTATCTACAGTATTTAAACGGAACCTTCCATCCTACTAACCACAACATCTCCTTACCTTCCAAATCTATCTATCACAGTGTTTACACGTACCTTTCAGTCTCAGACAAGTCTTGAACTCCAATCGCCGCAACCTTCCCACGTCGTTCCCACACAGGAAATCCCAACTATCACGGCTGGTCGTCCAACTGTTAGGCCCTTCAGAAGATTGGACACTACCTACGGGATCAACATCGCCCCCATTTCCAACACGGCCCCTGCACCACCTGCCAACACCAGTGAATATCAAGAAGCACAACCAAGTGGACCCATGAGCTTTTTGAAGAAGGTGGGTACCACAGCTGACAGAATCATATGTTTCACATCTATTTGGGATAATTTAATTTAAACGTGGGTTGCTATTATTATGTCATTTGGGAAATTTTTAGAGAGAGAGAGAGAGAGAGAGAGAGAGAGAGAGAGAGGGGGGGTAAACGTGTACAACCATTAAAAATAATCAATAAAACATTAGAAGTTTGACAAAAGAAAAACAAGTACATGACACTGTAGTTGCATAATTGGCAGAATAAATTCTGCACTCGCAAAGATATGTATTGATTAAATGCAGATCGATATAATACAGCCCGCGTTTCTGCTACGTGTAGAAAACCTATGTTCTTAACGAAAATATTTATTGATGCAATTATTTTTTTAAATATTTTTGAATTCTCATATATATCATCGAATTCAGGCACTACACTTTAGGAAGGACAGAGTGAGACTAGATTCCGAGTTTAGTGTGAAAGTCAATCCTGTTAGAGCCCAAGATTATCATGTAAGTACCAGAAAAAACAGAATTACAATCCAGCAAATTAAAAATGACAAATTATAGACCATATGCATGCCATTAGTTTTATTTTAACTTCCACTTTTCGAATTTGAAGTCACTGACAATATATTGACTGTTTAGCTATTAGCGTTTTGTGCTTACTCAAATGTTATCATTTAATGAATACAAGGCCTTAGACGTTAAGACTATGACCCCTGGCATATGAACTTTGACGTAATTTCTTCCTACTATATGATCAGGCAGCTAAAACCACTTATCTGTGACATTTGACTTTTAACATATAAAATGCCATTTTTTATTTGAATTTTATGTGGTCTTTCACCTCTGCCTTTAACCCCGACCTTTACCCTGACCTTGATCCTCGGTATTGATAATTTTCTTAACAGGAGGGCACCCCCCAAACATCAATGGATCCCCGGCCGGTTGTAAGCGGCAGATATCTACAAGCTATCGAGGAAGACCCAGAGACTGGAGGTTATGAGGAATACCACATGTCGGACGATATCCCTGTGTTTGAAGAGGAGCCACCGAATTTTGATATTAGCCATATAGTTCTTGACTGCTCAGCCATGATGTACACCGACGCCGTTGGTGTCAAGGTCCTTAATCAGGTATATTGCCAGCCTAAATGGTTCTTCTTGTTCAGATACTTTATTATTATTATTATTATAATTATTATAATTATTATTATTATTATTATTATGTTACCTTTACGTGCTTTACGTTGTGTGTAAATAACAAGAATATGTTGATACATGGATTTAGATCTAAACAGATATGTTCTCTTCGTTTTGGTTATTGTTTTTCTTTTTTACCTATACCCTTTCCATTGAAGCTCTTTACTTTGATTGCAGGTTATAAATGATTACAAAAACGTTGATGTGATGGTGCTTTTAGCAGATTGCAGAGGTATGCAATTGATTCAGTATTTCAAATTTTGCTAAACGAGGGCTCAAATAAATTTACATGTACTAAAGATATATATGGGTTTAATACTAAGAAATATAGACAATTTTGAAGTCGTATTTCACCAAAAAAAAACACATATGCCTGTGTTACTGAACCCAACCCCTTTTATTTAGCCAATTTCAGAGAGATGCTGAAAAGGATAGGCTTCTTTGAGAGTAATCCAACAGACATCATTTTCCTCACCATCCATGATGCCGTGATGCATGCCATATACGAACAAAATGAATTGGTAAGACAAATGTTGGAATTAAAGAAATGCACAGCGAATAATAGCCATACTCCGGTAAAATTGTATTAAATTAATGTACAAGCTGTTGCTAGAACTGTGTAGTAATTGTTCTGTTCATATTCGATGTGGCACATTGCATGGAACCATGTTGGATGCCATATTAATAGCGCTGTAGTACCACTACCAGCATAGTTATTCTTTGTCGACATTGGCAAAACAGCTTATTTTTTACATTATGCCTCCAAATCGCTGACGTAAGTAATCTCTCCACAGTCCACAGAAGATGACGACATCAACAGTACTAGCGGGGACAGCGGCCATTCCGAGGATACGAACAGCCATTCCGAGTTATCGTCCTCTCACAACCAGGACGTTGAGAAGGCTTCTAAGAAATCTTCGGAACACTCTAAATCCAGCAGTAAGAAGAAAACGGAAAGTGAAGGAAGTGCCAAAAGTAATAAGGTAAACTATAATGCCATTCTGATATAATTGACAAAAATGTTATTTTTATATCCAGGAATCTGGGGTCTGATAAAATTTAATATTGACTGGTGACGTCTAAGCAAATATACCGTAACAATAACCAGTGACGTAGTCGACAGTTTTTTCACTTATAAGTGTAAATGGCACAATTATATTATCTATCAGACGATAATTATGTCAGATGACAGCGATGTTACTGCTGTTGATACATCTAGGGGGCTTGACATTTAGGTATTGGATTATAAAAAGGCGATAAAACTGGCTGTTGCTTTCTATAAATATATTGTTTTGTAGACCAGAGACAAATTTTACCCTATTTTAAAAATACATTTTACGCTTATTATTGTCTAAAAACGTACACTTTTCGCGCTATAATTGTCAGAACTGTGCAAACATTACCTGTCAACAAATACAACAGCCAAGTAGTTTATTCAACATGATAAAGTTATTGTTAGGTTGAGTAAATCCTGATTTGCCTTGAGCAGCTTTAAAATATCAAAGAAAAATCACGCAGTGGTAAGATGATGTACATTTAACTCGTAATGACTTAAGTCCACAATATTCTATATATATGAGACTAGTTATAAATGAACAAAATTACTGTGTTAAAAAAATTCCCAGAACTTTACTTTCAAGAAGCGAAAGCCGAACTTCATATTTTTTGTTATTGTCAGTAGCTGTTTAGTGGTTTCACATTTCTAGACATCACTACAGGAAAAGAGTACTAAGGAAAGCTTGAATAATATACATATTTTGTGCTTCATTTTGTGCTTTATTTATCACAATCATTTAATCTTTCAACCTATTTGTTTTGATTTTCTAAATATTTTATTATCAAATTATTATTTTTATTAATATAATAATATTAATTATTATTATTATATTATTGCAGGAGAATGATAAAACAAACACCCAAGGTCATGTTAATGAGGGTTATGATAGCCATGACAGCGAGGACGACCGCACGGTAGAGATAGCTCAGGTAATTTTAATTAAACATTAATTCATCGACTTAATTCGTCTACTTCTTCTCTGCCTCTTAATATCGTAGTATTTAATCGTGGAGGTATTGTTCTGACACTTGACATATCACAAGTTCCCGTTCTCGTTCTTTACTTTTGTGCGTCAATGCTTCCACTTAAATGACTGCCTTGTTGGGATTGGTACGCGTGTACCATTGGTTTTATAAAATATCTGCAGGCAGCGTCCACTTTACATATACCATATAAAAGGCAGATTTTGAGATTGCTAATTTTCAGCTGATGAACCTGATGCTTCAGTTGATGCTTCATCCACGTTAATCGTGTTTTTTATTTGAAGTATTATATTTCTTCTTCTTAGTTTTTAACTTTATATCTTGACCAAATATGTTATAAAATGTATATCTATATTATTTGTGTAGCATATATGTAACACTTCTCTAAGATTTCTTTATCTTTTCCAGGATAAATTTTTCCTCCCAGCTTAAGGACAGACAAAATATTTTTTAAAAAACTGTATTCCAATCTCGAGGAGAAGGCATCTTGATATCATGGCAACATGAATTGCCGCTTCTTGTTGGGACATTGCTACAGCCTCAAAAAATATTTTAATAATTGTAACCGAGTTTCAAAGCGGCTAAAAGGCATATAGGGCTATGTTTTATACAATGGATTCGGTTTTTGGGATTGACCACCTTCATATGAGTTATGTGTAATTTGTGTGCAATAATTTTACCGAGTAAGGGGCATTTAAAAAAATGCATCGACATTAAAAAACACACTTGTAGGTCCCTGGCGTCTAGAATTCGTCCAAGACGAAAGTTCAGTAAATTTAAAACGTGCTTAGATAGCTAAGACATTTATATTTAATGACGTTTTTGGATGTAGGGTTCTAGTACCGAACACATCGAAAGCCGTACCATGGTATAATCCTTGCCAATGATTGGTGCTCTATACATTGGAATATAGCATATGATACCTGTGATATATCTTGCAATAACTTAATAAGATATGTTGGCAGTAAGTGTAGTATTATATTATTTTTATAATCTTAAATATATTCATATTTAAACTAATTCGGTATATTCGGTAACGTTTATGTCCTGTCAGTGTGAAAAGGGGTGCAGTATTATATTAGTAACACAAGGGGAACAGTCGGTGGTGATATTGATTTCAACAGAATGATGCCAATGTTGTGTGTATAATACATACACAATTATATAGAATTGCAAGACGGAAGAAAAACTGTAGCTTCGAAACAAAGAGCAATTGCCTTTTTTCTATAAACTCTGGAAAATTTTCCAAGATGTAGGTTTGACACGACGCAGTTTTAGTTGATATTATTCTACGTTGGTATATTTTCATTGTAAACATTCCATGCTTGCTAACTCCTTGTAAAGTCTCATGGCGCGTATTATTAATTATGCACAATAAGATATGGTATGTCACAGTTGGTGCAACAGACCCTTCGCAAAGTAGACGCTGTTTCTGTAAACATTTCATGATGCAAACACTCTTTCTCTGGAGCACATTTGTTATTTATTCTGCACTTTATGCATATTTTACTTTAAAAATGCATATTCACAGGAAAATATGTACACAGATTGGTATTTCTTAGAAAATGATGATACTTTATTTAAACCTCAATTGATGTTAAGGGCGTGCGTCCCTGTGTTTTTTTTTTTTTTTTTTTTTTTTGGTGCAAGGATGTGGCTGGATCTTGCTTGGAAATAACTCCCTGTTATTCTCCACCTTAACACTGACAGTTTGTACTATAATTTCCTTATACATAAGTTCATTGGATTTTTGTTTTTAATATCACCCTATAGAACAACAACACTGCAGAATTGACCATGGATGTATTTATTAGAACATTTATCGGATTTATTTCTAGATATGTTAGATAATAAAACTATTGATTAATACCTGTAAACGGAATTTACTTCTGATAAATAAAAATGTATATGATGCATCAATGATTTTTTTACTTTCGTTTGATTTGGATATTAAGGTCTTAATGGTTACTTTAAAATGTTTTCGTAGACGTAGTAGTGGGTCTGGCACTTCTACGAAAATCTTTAATTTGCTAAAATAGGTAAATGAATGAATAAATTTGCAGACATGGTAAAATAAAAATAAATAAATATAGAGCTAGCGCTCCTAGCCCGTATAAGTCAGAGCATTGAACGTATGCGTGTCTAAGCTTTACTTATAGAATACATTTACCAAATCTAAATTATCTGTGGGCGGGATGTTAGAATAAATCATCCCAGAGCGATTCCATTTATTCCCAAGCAAACTATATAATGTGAGAACAAAGCTCAGTGACAACATGTACCAGTACATGTAGCATTTAACGTTGCATAATTATTATTATTACATACAATAGTGGCCATATACTGTTAGCACATGATTGCCCTCACGCACACGCACAGGTTAATACTGAAAAATCAACGGTTTTGTTAAAGGGGGGCCTGCATGTAAATCTTCGCTTTGTTTAGAAAATATAATAAACATAAACGTTCTGCGTAAGAGCACACGAATCGAACTTTGTTTGGTTGTATCTGCTTTCATTTGCTGCCCTTTTTGGATGGGGGTGGGGGAAGGGAGGACGTGGGTAACTAGGGGATCGCCCAGCCATTGTGCTCCCCCACCAACTGAAACTAAATTACATTGACTTAAATTTCGGACATGAATTTATTTATACATGGTGTCATTAAATATCTCCACTATTAAGAATGTGGAAATGGGTTTACAGGCAACTCGCCAATGTGCATACTAACTGATAAAGCTGCACAAGGGCAGTGCATAAATATACCATTTTAATTGGATACTCGGTATTTTAAAAGTTCCCCTCTTTTTAATCTATTTTAATCATAAGTCTGAATGTTCAAACTAAAATTTTGCCGCGTTACGATTTCAGGCCACGGCAACGGGTCACCATCTGGTATCATGTGATCACGACTTGCTATCAAGGCGGGATTGTGTAAATACCGCCTTTGTTCTTTATTCCAGTGCATTTATGTTAATGTTTTGCGATACTTTGTTGTCTAACGTCAACTGAATCACCAATTCCACAAAACATGGACTTAATCGTGCAGATGGCAACACCCCAGGTACAAGCTGAGCTAAATATTATCACGCTGTACAGGTGCATAATGATCACATGAGATCACGTTAGGATATTTGCCGCATCCAGGGAGATAATTGAGGTTTCTAGGAAATGTTGTTCTTCTTTGAACGGGATGCTAAATTCTTAATGTCACTCTCCGTACAGTGTGTCTGAAGGTACGAAAACACTTCTTGCCGTCTGTAGAATCAGTTTTACAACCTTCTTTAGTAAAACATGGAGCCATAGAGTATCACCATATACGTATTTATTTCATACCACCCACATTGGATACAGTCTTTGTATGTTAATTACACCTGTATTTCAATCTATTACATGAAAATCACATGTGAACAAGATCATATGGCATGCAACATATGGCAGTGAACGTCCTTCAGTAATCCTATCCATGCTTCCATTTTAATGTCAACTATATTGGTTTTTGAGTAGATTTCGTTGGTATTCCAATGAACACAGTACTGTGTGAGGTCAAGGTTGATGTAATCCACTAAGACACAATAACGTTTTACAACAATAATAGACAACGTGATTAAAAAAGCAGTGTCTTGTTTGCTCTTGGGGGTAACCGTTAAGCTACATTGGCTTCGAAAGCTCACACGAATATTTCTCCCCCTTGACAGTCGTTTTGGAAAATACTATTTGGTCTCTACGTACGGCCATTGACGATTGGCAATGTTATGACAACGTCGCACGGAAACCATTTGTAAAATTCTATTGGCACACCAGTATCGGCACATGTGTCTGAATCTAAATACTGCAGACTCTCATCTTATATCTTTAAATGTTACATATAAATATCTGTTTCATTTTGTCTCTCTGATTCCTATACAGGTATATTTGGGGTTTCACAAATATCACACATAATCGTGCAGATGACCTTAAATCAACACTTCATGTTTGTATACAGGTCTGTGTACAATTTAAATATATGTATATACGCAACGTTTGCAACTCAGTCTAGTTTACCTCTTTGTAATTGTAGCACCACTTTAGTAAAGTGTATACTTTTCTTATATCCGTATTTAATATTTAACCATTTATAGTTCTAGTTTTACGATTAATATATACACAAAATATACGATCACAACTTTGATGTGCTGTTTTATTTCGTCTCTGCATTGGTGTCGTCAGCTTTGTGTTCAGCCTCGTTTTGGTTCACTGTTTCCGGTGCTGCATTCTGGAGCGTAATGAGGGTGAAGTTTATATTCAGGCGATCCTCCAAAAAAGAAAGAAAAAGCAATCGCAAGCATAACAACAAAAGCACCAGTAAAATGTCCCAAGTCAGCCACATGGATTAGAGAGAAATGCAAGCTTTATCAATGATAAATGAAAACTAGCATATTAAAAAAGAGAAAAGGGGTAAACTTCACATTAAACGTAATATCACACTCAACGAGAAGTTTGAACACTAACTTTTATAGATGAAATACATGTATGTTTTGCTAAATGAATAAGTTGGGCAATATTCACATCTCCTAGCAGGCGGATTAATTGCAATACCCTGTACACTGTATGTATGTTATGCATTTACAATATATACTAATAGGCCTACATATATTCATTAGGCGTGCTGTTTTACTTTTTATTTACTTTTATTAGAAAAATACACCACTATAAAATCAGTATTTATGATTTGAGTTCCGAAATAGAGACATAAATGATTACATTCATTAATACAAAAATACACGAAACCTTCCAAATACATGAACAGAGCTACAAATTACAACATGTACATAAACAAGTATATCAGTCATATATACCAGAATATATTTTAACCGTGTAAAGGAATTGTAAATAGGTCCCCTTTCTAGTGTTTATTACAAATATAATCCCCTCGTTTTTCAGATGTCGGTATCATTTTGGCAATGTATCACTACAACTTCCCAAAATATACTATAAGCTGAACCTAGCTAGCAAACCCAAAATAGATTCATGTCACGTTGCTCTCTGCAGCCTAAAATACAATATACTTAAAATATCGTGTTACCTTTAAAAATCCCGTTTCTCATAGCTGAACTAAGACCAAATCCATCATGCACGGAAAGAGCATTTTTTCCACAACCATTTCAAACAATCACTACAAAGCCCAAGATAACGATTGTATATTATCTGATGCAAATGTAACGAAAACCTATACATGCATGTGAACCAGGTAGGGGAGAGCGGGGCTAGTTGGACACCGGGGCTAGTTGCCCCCCCCCCCCCCCCAATCAATTTATGACAAAGTAACTATGGGGTAAAATAATTGATCGCATCATTTTGTAAAGTGACCGTATCCAATAGTGCTAAGAAAGCGTCGGCAGTGAGTCCAAATGAAATAATTTAGCATCTTGAAGTAACTTTGATGGGGGGCCAACTTACCCCGGGGTCCAACTAGCCCCGGTCTCCCCTACGTGCTACTTCCAGGAGAGAAAACGCACCGACATTTATTTATATTGTTATACACATTCCTATGCCTTGCAGAGAGTGCCATGCCCATCCCAACATGCAGCCTTATTTGTTGTTAGACAGAACATTTGGAAGATGGATTCCATTAAGCAAGCGTTGATGCAAAAATGAATTACCACCATCGGTGTCCTTTACCTTGCTAGAGGTCATTGTGGGATCAAGGACGATGGAACCCACGTTCTTCCGATCGTGCATCTTTTGCATTGCTTCACCAATCTGAAAAGAGTTATCCACACCTATCCTAAATGTAGATACAAAACCAACATAATCGTTTACACATCACTCATGTTCATATGAAAATTTACCAAATTACGCAGAATTGACAGAAACAATGACTATGTTTTCATAATACAAAAAAAAATGAAAAAAAAAAAGAATCTAGGCTATTTATGCACCTCCCTTTTCATTCTAGCACCATGTGACATCCAGGGATCAGCTTCACAAACAAATTTCAGTCTGAATATTGGTCTTAAAAATACTAAATCAATTTCAGTTCAAGACAAATCCACTGAGGTCCTCTTGGTTTGAAACGTTCACCGTGCCTTATTTGCTGTTCGTTAATAACAGGTGCGTTAAACAAATTTTCTCCTGTAAAAAAGGTGCCATTGGAGCCAATGTAGACAACGACCGGTACCTGTATATGGATCAATGTGATCATGATCGAGCCACCGCCGTTTGCTTATATTTGCATGTATAGTACATTAATAATATTAATCATGTAAATGGATGATTGAATGGGCCATAATAGAAAGCTGAATCTTGGTCATATCGATGTGCAACCGTGGTATTGTGACATGTTATGAGGGTCAGGTCACTGAAATTACACATTTTTATCCACCCCCTTGAAAAACAATGCACTAATACCTTGGTCACGCAATGGATATGATAAATGTTTGTTGTATTTTGGGTTACTACTTAATGTAGCAGTTGTTGTATAGACATGGGATAGATGCTGAAGGCAGTTTTTTATATTTTTTTACAGTTTAAAACAAAAATGATGATAACTGAAAACTTACGTCTTCAAAGGCAACTACCGAGTCGATAACAGGCTTAATCTTTCCTTGGTTGTACATTTTAAACAGGATGTTCATGACATCACGCACGTAGGCGTGCTTCCCTTGGTGGAATAACAACTGCCGTAGGTTGAAGCCGGAAATCGATTTGTTTTCATCGTAAAGTTTGATGGGGCTGATTTTGTCTATCTGCCACCACTGAAAAAGAGAGTATATACTTTAGTCATCCTTGTAGCCATCTGTTGGCATCTGCTAGGTCTAGTTTACTGAGTATTTGGTTTCATTATATTTATTTTTCCTTAGACATGCATGCACCACATGGCATTGAATGATTCTATAGTATTGACTTCCAGTCTCAATTAAATACTGTGGTTTAGATGACAAATGGACACCTGATGCTCGTACGTCATCGTCCAATTATCTCACGAACAACCGAACACCTTCCGTAACATTGAAGGTTAAGAATATCAATGTGGAGGAAAACAACTTGACCTTTCATCACCATCAACGAAAATACTTCAAATTTGGATATTTTACCATATTCTTGGGCGTAGGAGTAGGTGTATGTGAGAGGTGGTGGGGGGGGGGGGGAGAAAACTTCTCCGCCCGCCTGTCGCTGTTTTTTTTTCTGATTTGATACTCCCACCTTAATTTGTTCCAAAGAGCCTGTGGACATCTGTTGGTAGACTTAGGATATGATATCCGTTTTAGAAAGAGAAAGAACCTGCATTAACCCCCTATTCTTTTTTTAAGAGTACGGACGACCCCCACTCCCAGCCCCTGTATGAGTTTATATACGTGTCAAACCTACCGCCTTAGCCACACTGAAAATGCTTTTTGTTTCCCCTGTTACGATATTCGATGAACCTGAAAAAATAAAAAAAAATGTCTCAGAGGCATCTGTTTTAATTTCCTGGCTGTACATATGAGTCCAAGGCACAACTTAATGGAAAGATATCTCATTATAAGAAGCTAAATGATATATCAGTTACTGGTACAGTCCCCATTATTTGATACATAATTCACCTGACAAAAATTGCTTTATGTTTGTCTTTTTTCTGTCCATTGTAAATGAGCCGTGGACTTATCGTACGTCCTCAGGCACACAAACACACACACAAACACACACACAGAGAGAGAGAGAGAGAGAGAGAGAGAGAGAGAGAGAGAGAGAGAGAGAGAGAGAGAGAGAATCAGCAAAACGGCACCTTTGGGACAAATAGGAAGACCGCGACTGTACCAAAATAAAAAACATCCACCAACCTTCATTTTGCTAGTGTCACGTAATTTATATAGCTCTGCTTACCATAGAGCACGTATCGTCCCATGGGTTTAAGGAGGCCTATCCCCTTATTGGCGTCTTCCCCACACAGGCTGTCTAGCACCAAATCAACACCGTCTGGAGACGCCCTGATATTCATGCAAAAGTCTTTCATTACATGTACCAGGGCCGCGCCGGTAACGTGTACAAGAGAGTCCCCTATGATAGAGAGCCCTGTCCCCCATTGCTTTGAGAAGGACAACCCCGTCCTAGATTTGACCCACGTGCTTTCTCTAATTTTATTATTCTAATGGAGGGCGGACTCTCTGTTACACGGTTCCCCAGTTTCTCGGCACATGTGCGGCAGGAATGACTAAAGTTTGTTCCTATGCAAGCACAGGTGACATTTGCCCCATCAACTAACCCCAATAATTACGTTACTCCCTGCAAACATCCCCTGTACTAATTATGTGGGACTCCGGACTTCCATCGATAGGATTATCATTCCTGTCACAGCAAATTCACAACAGAACTATATAGGCCTATAAAGACCAAAAATTGATCTTCACTTTAAAGCCAAACATTTAGTCCACATCAGTATTGGGAGTCAAATATTTTTAAGTAGGTCTAACTACTGGACCCAAACATCAGACTGACCTTCTAATTATAATGCAGGAACAAAATTTGATTTTATTTAAGCACTACTGATATACTTGGGCTAAAGAAGGCTTCAATTTTTTGAGAGTTTAAATATCTCAAGTTGTTCCTCAGGATTGTTTTCATCAAACATTTTAACAAGTAATGGGGAAATTACCAAAGTTACAATTCAGACTGTGAAAAATATAGGATTTAATTATAGAAAACATATTTTCCCGCAGTAGTTAAATACGATATGCATTGGCCATGATTTGGCAGGGATCACATAATGTTATGGCCATAAAAACGATATTCGAAAGTAAATACATTTGGAATAAAAGTATTAATCAAGACTTCAGACAGATTGATTGTTAATACTCGTAAAATGTAACTCTACCTGAAACACCTGCATAATAGAAAGGATCCAACTTACTTGCGTATCTCTTGGGCGTAATCTACCACGTGATCGTACAAGTAGGTGACGTCATTCTTGATCTGCTCATGTTTGTTGTGAGATGCAGTGCCGTACAACGTGACGTCATCCACCGTTTTACACAGTTGTGCTATGGCTTGGCCCTTAAAGAGAGAAGATATAAATGTGAAAAATGTGTTACTTTTTCTGGAAGCAAGTTGTTTTCTCCACAACCACTGCGTAACTGGTATCTGGCTTATATATCCATTAAAAAAGAGGGGCAGTCCTATATATATATATATATATATATAATTTTTTTTTAACACGTGCGTAGGAACCAATGCCATGTGGAAAATATATTCAAATACAAGTAATTTACAACCATATTTTCATAAAACTTCTCTGCAGAGAAACCATCCTGTTCTACCTAGCGTAATTCCTGGAATAATAATAATAACAATAATGTGAAAATAAATCACCATCACCATAGTTCATTATTATTATTATTATTATTATTATTATTATTATTATTATTATTATTATTATGTAACAAATAAATAAATAAATAAATAAATAAATAAATACATAAATAAAACTTACCACACCTCCTCCAACAGAATGAACCAGCACCGACTGACCGGGGCGTAGTCCGCCTTGGTCAAATAAGAGAATATAGGCAGACAGCCAGTTCAGAGGGAAGGCAGCCCCCTCGTGATAATTCATCCCAGTTGGCATATGGTAGACGGTCTGCGCAGGCACGCTGACCACTTCCGCCCAGGCGTGGTAGTCCGTAAGGGCAATCACGCGGTCTCCGATCTGGAAAAAAAAGGGGAAATGTTTTGCGTCACGTGTTTGAATGAGTAGCGCTGTTGGCTGCTTTGTGCCAGTCAAACCCCTCTACAGTGTACCTTTCGGTATTATTTTATAAAAATGGATGATTCAGTCCCTGTCTATTGCCAAAGACTTTGAAAGACCATATTATCAGAATGTGACGTCTAGAATAAATGTATTACCAATGCCCCCATTTTCAATACATTAATTTGAAAAAAGGCCTGAAGCTGCATTCCAGTAAAGAACTCCTTTTCACAAAATAAATCAAGTCGGGCTTTAAAACAGAAAATATCAGAGGAAGAAACCAAGAAAAGCCTCGTTTTGCATGGTCTTGCTACATCTAGCTTTGGGCGGAGATGCTAACCTTATAATGTAGTACGCATTGACGTTTATTATTCGCATTTTGACAGTGACTGTCGGTATCGTTCTATCACTTAAGACACAAACTATTTGCTCCTTGTGTACCAAGTTATAGTTTGTCCCAGATTTCAGTTAACCAGATTATCACCATGCCGAGACTGTGCTAAACAGTTCACTTGTAAACAGCTGAAACATGCCGAAGTCGTGATCAGGAAATGCATAATTCAAGTCTAATTACAGTTTCAAGTGGAATATCGTGTTATCGCTGTTAAGGCCTGGTTAGATTAAAGACGTCGTATTGGGAAAACCATTCCATTTACAGAAAATTAGTTTCCGATTATTCGCCGATTGACGAGGCCGCTGGATGTGTGTTGACCAAAGACAAAAAAGGACGACACTCAGTTGCTTACACGTTGTACCAACTGTGCCCCCGGTCCCAACAGATTCCAGTCGTTGAGAGACACGCTTGATTTTTGCCATCTCAGGGGAGGTCCAATTTTCATAATTTCAAAGATCATGATACAAAAACGTTCGATTTTTGGGGCATTTGCTACATATGTCATACTAAAATGATCTACAGGTATCAAGGACAAGGTTAAGGACAGTAAACTTCAACACTGCCTTTGTTTCTGAAAAAAAAAACACCAAACACATTCCATCCGATTACCTTGCGTACCTATGATTATTGGAAAGTGGCATTTAGGCCTTACTATCAGGCTTACTCTCCGGTAATCTCTGAAACACAGGCTTTTCCGATCAGATTAGATGAAATATCGATTCTCTCAAAGCACGTGTGTATTCGGATAAACGTTTCAGTTAATTAAGTCTTAAGACGCCGAAGAGGTATGTCGACACATTGATGATTTTCCTATCGACCTCGCACATCTATTTGCTTTACCTTATATACTCTCTGTAAATAGTCCCTAGAGTATGCTAACTCATCAACACGTGTGGAGTCTTAGATTATTGAGAATAAATCATTGAGCATCGACCAGTCGTGTTTCACTGTTGTAGTCGATGTGGTAGCAAGAGCCTGCTTTTTACGGTCCATCAGTTGCGAATTCAGGACTCAATAATCTTTTGTATATATATTCAATGAAAATTTAAACCTCTGGTATTCTTTTATCTAAGAAGGCTGTCAATTTTCATGCATGTGATATTTTGGTCGACGGGGTAACTTGGTGCACGTCAAAGTAAAGGGGGTGGGGTGGGATGGGGCCATTTTGCCCTGTAAAGAGAAATAAAAATTAACCTAAAATAAATAATAATCACCCTAAAAGTAATAATAAAATAAAATTTCAAAAAAAAAAAAAAAATGCAATTTTAAGGCAAACAAATAAAGGCGACTTTAACTAAAAGGCTAAATGGCGGGGACAATATTTGATTAATAAGAACAGGTCTAGAAACCACAAAAGCTCCCTGAAATTATTTCCGTCAAGTTATGATTCTAATGATAATCTGATAGTATATCATGCAAGATTTGAAGAGTAAGGAATCAAGGAAGAAAGTAGAACCCCCCCCCCGCACACACACACACACACACACACACACACACACACACACACACACACGCCCACATAGTGTTCTTGAAATCCGTTAGCAACATTCATGTTTCCATTACTGCCATCTATGAAACTCAGATTGCGCCTACGAGGATTAATCGGAAACAAGGATCGATCAAGCAGCTTTGAGGAGCATGGTATACCTGACTCCAGAAAATATAATTACAACACCTATAGCGCACTGATTCCAAGACAAAAATCGCTCGGCTGACCTGCCATTCAATTTTATTGCAACTGGTGAATAATCTAATGGAGAGTGAATGACAAGGAAAATCCAAGTTTGCCTTTAGATGTTCCCATGCGGAATGTGCCCGGGAGCAATATACTGGAATAGCTGAAATATCAGCAATTTATCTTTATTCTAAGTATTTATAGCGGGGAATGGGGGAATGTCGACGCTAATGTAATCAAAGTTAACTATCTGCAGAGATGTGATAAATGTTGTGTCCAATGGTCACGTTTCCTGTCACCTTTGGACAGCTTGGCTTGATATGCTCTACAAGGATCTCAGCAAACAGAGTTACTTTGATTTTCAGTCACAGGAAAGAAATGTACCCCTGTAGGACCCGAAACTTGCCTTAGTTACATTGATGGTGACAATGAGATAAGATCATAATTACACCTTAAACAATATAGGCCTACGTGCTTGTACAACCATCATTACTGAACTTCTATCTGGCTTAAGAACATTCTGACATTGGTAAATTATATTCTCATAACCAGAAAATACAAGGGAAGTATTTTCTTGTTATAACATACCAGAAAAGGATGTTTTTGAAAGCACACTGCAAATAATCATATATTTAAACGGTAGGGCCTACTACCGTTACCCAACCAAAACATATTGTCCATTGGAACACACCCCTGTTGAGCATGTAGGATATTCGTCCTGTTCCCTTCTCCTCCCTCTTCTCAATAAAAATGACAACAAATAAATAGACAAATATCATAATAACTTGATAAATAAGTTATTAATTAACACACACGAGATAAAACAATACAGGGCAACTACTCAATACTGATACATCGTCTATAACGCCCTGTTACTCACGTTGAAGTCTGTGACATTATCCCCGACCGCCTCTACGTCCCCAGCACATTGAAACCCGATGACTAGCGGGGTGCGAGGAGCGTTGTCGATACACCCCTGGCGCGCCATAAGGTCCAAGAAACTCAGGCCACTGAAATGAAATGAAAACTTTTAGAAAAATTAATTAAAAAAAAATGAAATCTTACTAAATGTTGACTATTATGGACTTCCAGTCTAGAGTCTGCCTCAAGGACTACTTGAGATGGTAATTAAGACAGAAGAATAGTATGGCCACATGTACCAGTCGGCAGACAGGTCATTGTATTTATTATGTATATAAGTAAAGAATTCAAAAGTTGTGTGTGGTTTGTGCGCTCAACATGACATATTCGTTAAAAGGGGGAGATCTACTCAAAGGTCTTAGTAACATCACCGATTTTTAGAAGATGATGCAGCATAAACAAAATTATATACTGCATAACACAAAATGTAAAGTATACAGTAAATATTATCTAAAATGACGTATGTATACAGTCTGAATCTTCCTCGAGCCCTTGTACAGATTGTTTAACTTTGATAAACCTGATGTATTCAAAGTTCACGTAATGGAACCGTACAGAGAGCATACGTATATCCATGTACATTCCTACTCATTTCCCAATAAAATATCACTGTTTGCTTAACCATAAACGAAAATTGATTTAAGCCCTCAGAATCGGAGAAGTATCTACAGACTTGCATAATTTCAAGCTAAGAAAAAATGGGCCTTCATCATATCATCGATTAGATACAGAGCCACAGCGTAAAAGGAATTTTAGATACATTGCAGGCTAACATAGAGAAGCTCAAGGCCAAGAGACGCAACGCTTCGTACCCCTCTTACTACGCAAGCCATTAAACTGTACCGCGCGTGGCATTTTAAACAAATTGTACAAATAAAATTTTGCAGGCTCCTGGCGGCTTGGAAAATGCTGTTTTCTATCAATCAACATCTTTCGGTACACGGAACAAAATGGTTTCATCCAGTGGGAGACTCTCCATAAAAGAATTGTGTCGATTCATCAATGTCATATAAATGATTGATCAGAGTAAGCGACAGCCGCTTCGCTTACATGCACATGTGTACATGAAATCTGGCTGTTAGCAAGCATTACCGCCTTGTGCAGAAATGAATACTTGATTCAAAGCTTAAATATAAGCTCGCAGTCAGAGACAAGCTTAATCGATTCGCAGCACCAACAAGGGTCCCGATTAAGTGAGACTAATTGAACGGTGCCCATACCGACACAAATCTGCAGTTATTATAAACCATAATGTAACCGCTCCAGGAACTAACGCATTCACGATTACATATAGGCTGAACGCTCGTATAAGCCATCTATCATATTTGTGTGGAAAGAAAGAATTGATCATTTGTGGACGTAAGCTACTGCCTTAACATTTCAGTTTCCTTAATGTGATTTGACATATGCATATTGTGTTTCAGAATCATTATTGTTTTTTTTTCCTCCGCAGAGACGAGATGCATTTTTCATTGCTTTCCATAATTACCATACTGCTGTTCGAAATTTAACGGAAAGAATTACAATGCGTAATGCGCATCACGTCACTGGTTTGTGTACCCCACCCTTTCCCAACCCCCGCACGTGGAAAGAACCAAGAATTAAGTCAATATAATTAACAGTTATATTTCATATTTATATCGTCTGTGCCGTTGTAAGATAAGATGGCATTAATATTTAGTCAAAAGCAGTTAATACCTATCATCTTATACGTTGATGGTCCTTGAATACGTCAGTCAGCAGTACAATGAAGGCAGAAAGATATTGAAGGGTTACGTGAAGGATGCTAAGAAGGTTTACAATCAAGCCCACTACATGAACTTCTTCGAAGGTGGCTAGTTAAAACTATTTCAACGCTCATTGTAAGTCCATCGCCTACACATGTTGCTTGTACGTGTATGAATAGCATCCATATTTGACAGCTTTGTAGAAATACTATTAAGAGATGTATTATTTAATATACGGATTCGTGAAAGGCTGAGCATCTTATTCAACCCACCCACTCATTTCTGAAAGATCGCGTGATATTCAACTTGACGTTCATCAAACTAACATGAATGCAGCCATACAATATTAAAGGCCCTGTGTGAAACCAGATTTTAACAATTATAATTTTTTACTGGGAGTACATTTTCTAAAATCAAAGTAAGACGCCAGTTATTGCAATCTAAAATAATTTTGGGTTGAGAAATAGCAAGATTTTCATGATTAGAACATAATTACCTGGTACAATGAAACGGCATCGTCATTAGCCGCTTGCATCATTTAAAAACGCGGTGCTCTCGGTTGAAGTAATTAACCTGCGACGTCGTTGCTCCGATCTAGCTTTAATTAGAATTGTGCAGTTGTGAGACAGCGGTGAATATAGTCTAATGACCATGCCTGGTGTATAGTATAATTACTACACGGATGTTATTTCTCTTTCCGGCAATGAACTCACATTTGTAATCAGAAAAACTATCCACCAGATTTTATTCTGGCAACGTTGGCTCTAAGATGTCAAAAAAGAGAGGGCTGTTCATTCATTTATTTTGTGGTGCAACTTGAACAAAAAAAAACGTGATTCTACCCTGTTGTGGCACCGTTTGTCATTTCCCCTTCGAAAGAGGACTTAGCCTGCATATCGGGTAAGGGGAGGGAGAGGATGGAGCTGTCTCTGCTTGTATGGACATACAGCGCCTTTCTATGAAGTTGTTTCGCAACTAGCGAGCTGTGTGAAAAAAACCCTTTCTTTCCACAACAGAACTTTTCAGCATAAAAAAGCTCAAAGGCTTTAGCAAATAGATTGCTCGTCTGCTCGCCTTTCTGAAAATAGAGTGAAAACGTCTCTTATCTCCATGACCATGTTTGCTCTTGGATCAATTTCAAGCGTTCACGAAAAGCTTTACACTGCCGTGTTTTGTGGTTTCCTCCGCGTCAAGACAACTCTACATGCAATCAGCAATCTAAAGTTTTTCAAATGTCTTAGTAAAGTGGCATCAGCCCGCTATTACGCCAAGTGGTGTGAAGCGCGCGTGGGCTGTAGACCCTAAGGAAAAAGAAACCGCTAAAACTCGTTCAGTATATCAAGTGAAGGCCGTGTGGTTTCTGCAGTGTGGTGTCTATAAATAGTGTCACAGAAGGACATGAGGTTATACGAGAATTCTACCGCAGACCACGTTTTAATACGACTAGCGATAACAGCAGTCGCAGGCAAAACTGAACACTTTTTACTTACTTATAATTGTAGTGGAATGGTTTTCATTTCCACGTGTAGGTGCATGGTTAGTGAGTTCCTCTTCCTGATGCCAGTGGCTCGATGTCTATTAAGAAAACAAAGCTCCCAGATGTACTGGACGCCCCCCTCCCCTTCCCCGAACACTGTTACCACGTGCTATTGCTACAGGAAAATGTTCACCTCGTCCTTGCCACAACCCTCCGTGGGAGGGGGCAGGATATGGGGTTGTCTAATGACACGAAATAAAAATGCGATGCATAATGACAATTTATATAACCTTTCCCAGTGATATGGTACACAATATAAGGATCCAATAATTACCACATTTCTATGATTAGACTAGTTTACTGCGGAAATATTTGATTGAATTCTTCTTCGTATCTGCGCTGCATTACAGGCATTAAAAATCAATGAAATCAACTTCTCCAGTATGCAACAAGAGAAAACCGGGGGGGAGGGGGGGAAGGGGGGGGCAAAGGTTTAGGGGCGGGTTTAATCTTATAATCTTAATATCAACATCTAATTGACGTTTTCACTTTCTTAATTACTTTGCAGGACATCTTTCAGATTTAACGGCATGCCAATAGCTGCTTGTATTTGTTACATGTATTAACCTTCGCCGTTGAGCGATATCGATTATTTCAGTTTTCCGTGTTCCAAAGCCTGAGCGCTATGTTGGTGCTAGTATAATCTGGCTTTGTATGTGGGAAGGACAGACAAGGTTAAGCGTAGTAGAAATCCCGTATGTTTCCTTTTAACCAAGAAATTTAAAGTCAAATTAACAAAAAACAAAACTAGATACCTTTCTAAACGGCTAATAATTTGGTTGCCTGTTTTATGTAACCGATATTTGGAAAATATTGCTTACCATATGGACACATCTTCACGCCTTGTAGACTGAAGACATGCGAAAGCATTCCGTTATTTCGAGTCTGATGTCTTTTTAAGACTCGAGTCCCTCAATAAGGTCATCTAGTAGAGAAAGAAATAACAATACGAACCATGCTTTGACTCTGATAAGCACCTCCCCGTCTTTCGGTGAAGGTTCTGGTTTCTTCACAATCCGCATACACCTGATGCCTCCGAACCCAGTCAAAACGATGGACCGCATCTCCTTGGCCGGAACATTGTCGGCCAGTTCCTCTGCCGGGGCCGCCTTCTCCCCCGCTGCTGTCGCTGAATCTTCAGTCTTGGTCGTAGCTGCTGCCTCAGCCATATTGGAATATTGGAAGATTTTTCACTCGCAGACTGCGGTATCACGCAATGCAGCGACTCGCTTGCGCTTATGTAGACACGTATAAATCGGTGAATCGAGTCAGCCAAGATTGGTCGACTACGTTCAATACAATACTGTCGGCGAGAGTTAGTTGACGTCGCTTGAATCGCTGAGGCTCAGCGGGATAATACTGCCATCCAATATAGGCAAAAGCGAATGCCTGAATTTGTCTAGCTGGCAGCAGCTGTAGGATTAGTTAGGAAGTTTAAATGTTGTAAATTCAAGTGGAATAAAGTTTATATATGACCTCGTATATGAGAGATGCTTCCAGGGCCTCGCAATCTGTCATTAATACTGCATAGAATGAAGTTCCATCAGGAACAAATCAGGTAGCTATAACCAACCCATTTTGCAATGTATTGATGGCATTCAATAATTTTCTCCACGACATGAAAGGATTAAAATATAACATGACAAGGTTATTTTAATCCCTCTCATGTAATATCAAAACATACATGGAGGTCACCTTGTAGGGTTTTTATAATTAACAACGCTTGCCTAGATTTTGCTCGACAGTTGGCACAGTACTTGTATATGTGGAAACAAACCGGTAAAAGCACTGTGATTCATTCGTCCGTTTAAAGTAAGCACTGCTCAGTGTTTTAAAAATCTGTTTATTTTTACTCGATTCCTCACAAGGTATAACGGCTATTTAATGTTTTGCTCCAGTGGCCTCGCATTTTCATTATTATTACTGATTCTTAAGGTAATCGATTGAACACAAACACGTGATTTGTTCACGCATGTGTATTTTTAAATGATACCCATGGTTGCAAGAATGCTCAGACCATGGACTGTGTCAAAGTATCGACATTTCACTACAATTCTGATTACTGCAATATCTAATAAGTTTATATTCTAATGGTCTTTGATGGAATGCATTGTGGTTGCCAAGTATTTAACTCATGTATAGTTAAAATGCCAGTATGACTAAAGATTATAGGCCTTTTATACAAGGTAAATGTGTGTCTACGTTATTCAATTGGTAAAAGTCTTAATTTCGCAGAGTTTCTGCTTGCCTTGATCATAGGGTTCTATACTTACTTCATTGAAATATCAATTTAATAAGAAATGTACTTATTCCAAAACTAAGACTGAAGCATTTCTCTGGCTCTTGATGGCCATTTTGGATTTATCAATTGCCTCCCAAAAGATAATTTAGTCTAACGTCTTTCTAACGGACAGTCACATAATTTGCTAAAATATTTTTTTACTTTTGCATCCCATATGTTTGATAGCTTTCTTCTTCTGCGTGTGCACTTGTGTACGCTTGATTTGTCGCTCGCGCGTACACGTGTGCCTGTCGCATGATGTATCATACAACGACCAAACAACGTATGTATTGTGATATAAAGATCGGACACCTAGCCAACTATGCTATATTTTACCAAAGCTACCGTCCACTCCTTTAATATTCACAAGCAAATGTACTTTTTGTGAAAAAAGCGGTGGCAATATATATTTAATATAATGAAAGCAATCTTCTGCCGATGCTTCTTGAAATATAATACAAATACTGTGTATCATTTGCGATTTAAACAAACTGGTATCCACATTCGTTATTCATTTAGGATATTCATTAGCAATTTATGTAGAAGGCAAGAAACGATACGGGCGTATGCATGTAGTATACAACGGAAAACTTAAATAAAACCCAAGACACACTATGAGCTTCGAGCGCAGGTATCCTTACCAGCCAGTCGGGGTATTTATAATCCAGTCCAGCAAGGCCATGTGTGTGCTTGGGTATCAGGCCAGCATCAGCATCATCATCATCATCATCACCATCATAATTAAGGGATGTCCTCTTTCCCGACATTGCCCACCAACTTCACCCAATTTTATTCTAAACCAAGTGTAGGAACCGTAGTCCGTCCCCATTACTTTGCACGGGTGACTTTCGATATTTCGCCTAACCCTAGCCTATACTAATCATATCGGACCGCGTATTTCCATTCTTAGGACTACCATTCCTGTCACAGCTGCCTCCTTTATCTGCAAAGATAACATCCATTCACGTAGGTCATAAGTCCATGTATCATAGGCCTATAACGATTGATATCCTAAGGAATTCCTCTTCAGCAGTATGGTCTCATCAATGGCTTCGATTGCAGTTGGTGAGATGGCAACCTAAGCCATACTTTTTTTGCGTGGATTGCAATTTGGGTGGTTTCTGGTCCCAAATAAATTGCATAATCGCTTTAACCACATATTATTGTTCTCGCAATTGAAATAATTTCTAGTTTCCGCAATAAGATAAATACATGTACATGTTTCAATTATCTCTCAGTTATGTCTATTAGATTTATAATTGTTTATGGAACAAATCATACTTATTTGCCAGCGACATCAATGTGCAACTGTAATTTTTCAATATCTTGAATCGGATGATAAATCAGCACTTACAATTTACAGTATAAATCAAAGCGATGATGAGGTCTTATTGGAGTTTGGCGATAGTTACGTACATGCAGTTAATATATGCCCCTAATGACAACTAATAATATTCCTTCGTTTGGTTTGTAATAAACGCATGAAGGAATATTATTAGTTAATAATGACAACTAATAACATTCCTTCATTAGTTTTGTAATATTTGCGCCAAAACAAATGAACAATATTATTACTTGCCATTATTAAGAACCAAATAATAAAGACAAGTAATAATATTCCTTCATTCATTTTGTAATGATTGCACCAAAACGAATGAAGGAATATAATTACTTGTCATTATTAAGAACCAAATAATAATAACAACTGGTAATTTTCCATCATTCGTTTTGTAATAATTGCACCAAAAATGACTTGCTATAATGTGCCAAAACACACGACATTCTTGGACAGCTGTCTGAATACTTCACAACTCAGGGAAATGTTTCTTTTTAACCGCATGAAAGACTCGTTTTGGACATTTATTTCAAATAACCCTTTGTGACCAATATTTGATAACGCACACCGGTCAGTCAGGTCAGATATACAAGTATATCGGAAGTAAAACTTACACTGTGTCTTCGCCTTCGACGTCCACTAAATGTTGGACTCACTAGAAGTAGCAATTCCTCAGGTGTAATAACAATTATTTCATGCTTGGTCGGAGCGTCATTGATTGTCGTTTAAGCTTGTTCATTAAGCATGTATATGTATATAATAACACGACTCATTCATTAGCCCTAAGAAGATTCGTTACCTATCAATAATAATAATAATAATATCTAAATACAATTATTGTAATTGTATTTAGATAATTGCACTAATAATGGGCTTGCTATAAAGTACCGATGTCAGAGATTCCTGGGCAGTTGTCGGAAATCTTCAACTCTACCGGAATCTCCTATCGAAAGTCCGTTTACAAGATGGAGAACGTTACACTTGAAGAAGAAGAGGATTTCGGTAACTTGACTCTTAACGAAAGTAAAGCATCAACGGAGACACGGTCTTGCATTGGGTTGACATGCATTCCATTTGTCACTGTCGAAGTCATTCTGGCATTGGCAACAATTATAGGCAACGGCCTCTTCATTTTGGCATTTGTACGTTTTGAGAAGCTTCGAAAACAGTCAAATTACCTCTTGATCAGCCTCTCAGTTGTTGACCTCCTCACGGGACTTACAGTCATACCGATATTTATCATAAGCGGGTATCTTATGGACAATGTGCCGGCTCTAAGGTACCTTTCGTCGGAAAAATACTTTTGTATAGGAAAGGTTAGTATTGGGGTCGGTGTGATGTTCGTATCTTTCTCTCACCAGCTGCTCATTGCAGTCGAAAGATACGTCAAGATCTGTCGAAGTACCCTGTACATAACTATGTTTTCTAAGAAGAGGCTTGTTATCATCATAATCCTGGCATGGATCTACGGGATAGCCATAAACCTCCCTCCTTTGTTTGGTTGGAATAATTGGTCACCTGGAAAAGAATGCCGTGCTATTCATGTTCAACAACAGCATGTGCAGTACGTCATTATACCGCATGAACCAATCTGCATATTGGCAGTGTTTGGACTGTATATGGCCATCTTCTCCCATGTGCTGCGTCACAGAAAACGGATGAAGAAACACGCTGCCAATAACAAAAAGAAGCGTGTCAAAAATGTCCACCGACAGTCCTCAACATCTGAAGATAATGAGGGGATTTCAGAAACGCCGATCGCTTGCACTAGTGTTACTACATTAGATCTGAGCGTTTCGTCTAAGGGGGATATATCGTCGGTTCCAAATACTGATCAGACCACGTGTTTTCGAGAGGAAAGCCATGGTGGCGGCGGTGCTTCAGACAAAGCAGAAGAGAGGATCCACAGTTCGAAGTCACCAATCCAAGCCTCCCGCAGTGCCAAACCTGCGGGAAGATCCTTAAACCAAATGGAAATTAAGTTAGCAAAAATGACCGCTGTAGTGGTGGGTACTTTCATATTGCTATTTATTCCAAATGTAATCATAATCTTGACCGAGAAATACTTTGACGACAACAAATTACTTTATGGTATTATTTATAACATAGCTGTCGAATGTCTCTTTGTAAGTTCGGCTATTAATCCTTTTATATACGGCTTACTGAATAGAGAAATTAGAAAAGCTATGTTGGCATCTTTAAGATGTGGTAAATAAGAGTGGGTCCCATTTCTTGTTCTGTACCACAAAAGTACAGAGGCTTGTTTTAGGACTCAATTTTTAAACTTTGAGACAATCCGGCTACTAAATATTCTAAGCCTGCCTATGATACCTTAGTAACTATCGGTATATGAATAGAGAAGCATTCCTTTTTTCCTTTTTTGTTTTCTTCTTTCTATTAATTTTTCATTTATTGTTATAACACAGCTGCAGTACACGTACTTCATTTGAGTGAAGTGAATATGATAAACATACGGTCACAATATAATTGACTATCTTGATTTTTATGGTAAAAAAAATATATTGTTAGCGGAAAGATGAGTAAAATGTTGTGCGTTTCAGGTACAACTTTTAAAGAAATTGATACCCCTTTGTTGTTATGGCAACATTTTGTGAGGCTAAGGTGTTTTATTTACCAACATTTGATTGATGACTGAGAGATGAAAGACTAAGCTCCCAGGGATTTGTGCACCGGGATATATAATGCTTAACGGTGTAATGTAACATTAAATTTGTGAATTGTTTTGGAATAATGATTTCTAATGTTGAATTAATTTACGTTACAATACAAATACATCGACTAGATGAATATTGTGAACATATTGTGAACACGGTTTGCATTAGTAGCGAAGTCATCCAACAGCACAACCTACATTGAGAATGAATCAAGGTAATTGACAGTTAACACATTTCACAATCTGTAGATTTATTGTAACACGTATAATGTCTGAAGTAAAGTCGCACAATAATATGGTTTATGCAGCACTGTTGATTTTTTGTTTGTTTGTTTGTTTGTTTGGAGAGGGGGTGGTGGTCATGTAATGTAATGGTTAGGTTGGCTAGGTAATGTAAACTTTTATGGAGCAAAGTGGATTGGTTTTCTGTATTTATCTTGTAGTTCATATCAAGTAAATAATGATTGTTAGTTTGTTACTTTAATTCTTTGGCGTAACGCTTGTTTTCACAAAACTGCAAGAATCATTTATTATTGTGTTTGTTAAAAATGATTTAAAACTTATTACTTTCTTGATGAATTTAATTGGCAGGGTAATATGACATGTTACTGTATGACGTGCATGTGTATACATGTATATCTATTTTTGTAATATATTATACACAAAAAGTCGATCAATGATAGTTCCAGAATTTTGCTAAGTGAGGATTGGGGTAGAATGTAGAAGAAGTGGCCAGGACAAACACGTTTTTGTTTTTTTATCTGACATTTCATTGAGATGCGCATTTATTTCCATATCCACGTGGGGTGGGTGGTAGGGGTCTTTCGAAGCTAAGAGAGGAGGCAGAATATGAAAAAGTAGAAAGGGGGAATGTGTAAGAGTACAAATAACCATTCTTTCCTTCTCTTTGATGACACTTTGAAAGGAGGCAGGAATAAAACTTCACAGTATCATTTATGTACCGTATATTTGACAAAATAATGTAACACTATTTGTCAATTTCGTATGTAAAAGATTTCACTAAATATTATCATTAGATGTTTAATTTGTAAATATATTGTATGAGCAACAGTTTATCTATTTAAATGCATTGGTTTTGAACGAAAATGTAATAGACCTTTATTTGGTATGACGTACACACTATCATCCAGGGCATATAGAATAAAGATATCATATAGTCTAGATATTAATAATAAATAGCGGAAAAGATATCATTCAAAGTCTTTCATCAGAAAAAAAGGTGATATACAGACAGGAAGGGTGGCACCTAAAGGATTCCAGTACAAGAAGAAAGTGTACAAGTGCACTCAATTTCAGTAACGTTACACTTTATGTCTTAAATAATTAATTGTTCGTAGAGGAAATATGACGTCACGTACACGATTATGTTATTTCATGTATAAGATAAAAAGCACAATGTATCCTTCATTGTTTTGCATAAATATAAAGTTTATTGTGTGATGTGTGTTTTGTTTTTTATTGATCTCTGTCGAAAATAAGTTAATTATTGTGATACGTATTTTTTTCTAATTTGCGCTATGACGGAATTTGCCAAAAATAGTTATATTCTATACCTTTATTAACACTATATTGGGCTCACATCACATACAATTGGGTGATTGCGTTATGAAAAACTCACCTGGTCACAAATATCACAATCATAGAAACTTGCATAGACGTGCCGTTGATGGATTCCTTTGAAGCAAAAATGTTAAAGATAATGATAATCCATAGTTCATCAAACCCTAATAAAGTTTATGAAAGACTAATTTTAGACATTTATTTCAAGTAAGCTTATTGAAATTAAATGAAATTGTTACAGGGGCAACAAACAAAAAATTACTTCTTAAATACGGTTTTAGAAATGTGTGATATAATCAGAAATAAAAGTGTTATGGAATCGTTTAAACTTAGACTGAAAGATTGCTATCTTCAAAAATTGTAATTATCATTTGCTTTGAATGCATTGATATAGGCGAGTCACGTACAACGTCGGACTTATTTCATTCAAGTTAAACCGCTTGAATCTTTTAAAAGATACCGAACGCATAGTGGGGGAAGGGTTAAACTGTATCACCCCCGCATCATTACCTCCATAAACCCACCACCCGCAAAATTTTTTTTTCAATCTCTCATAATTATTCCGAAATAGGATTCAGCTGGCACTGATAATTTTTCCTTGTGCGCAGTCGCCGTTCATACAAATTATTCGCACTTATCCTTTTTCAGCAGTAATATTTTTATCGATTCTACGATTGTGGCAGGAGAGGTATCAAAGGAAGATGGGTTTATATATGTCAGCGGTAAAAGATATCATTCAAAAAGTCCTTCATCAACAAATTCAGAAAAAAGTAATACACAGAGGGGGAGGGGTTGCACATAAGGGATTCCAGAACACGACTTTTTCATTTAGTCGGTTTCGGTGATGCATCTCGTTTTCTAAAACACACCAATTAATGCACAGTAACAAGAATGCACGCATACTGAAATGTATGTGATTTCTTAACACAAATGAATTGAAAAATTTCAGCAATCTCATACTATTACTTTCGCAATTTGAATAATGTCTTGTGTCCGCAATAAGATAAATGCCTATAATGCTTATGTTAGATTGTTTATGGGACAGCCTATTACTTGGCTTATATGTCAACTTTAGTAAATTGCTCGAATGAGATCATGAATTAGCACCAACAGTTACACGTTGTACCTGTAAAATAGGAAGCAATGCTTATGGCTTATTGGATCTTTATTTTCCTATATATTGTTAATGATGTCAACTAATAATGTTCTCGCATCATGTTGGAAATAATTGCACTAATAATAAGCTTGCTATAAAGTCCCAATGCAAAAGATTCCTGGGTAGCTGTCCACAAAGTTCAACTCTACCGCAATCCCCTAGCTATCGTGTTTGTTCAGTAAATTCACGTGACAAAACAAATACATCGGCAAGACTTAAACGGAAAACCATGAATATTGAGTTTACGATATTAATAAACCACAACGATTAGCAATGAGAACATTCCACAATTTGCATTTTTTTTCTATTTACACCAAGTGTGGTTATTGCAATTAGGCTGAATACATTAGTATTCTACACCTTTATCAACACCTAAGTATAGTTCACATCACATATGACTAGCTGATACCCGTCACATCAATCATTGAACCCTAATAAGAGATTAGTATACACGATTTGATAATTAAAAAATTACAAGAAAAAAAACGGGTCTGAGTGGGAATCGAACCTACTCCGCCAACATATCATTTAATATACAATTTGGGATTCAAGATAAATTTTGTAATGTCCCAAATGTTCCAAAATCTTATGAACAGTTGCATACCTGTAGGTGTGAAACATCTACGCTATATTCAGTTGCAATTCATGTGTTATTCATTGGATGTAGTCCAATGGTTATATATTATGTGGCAAGCTATCAAATAAGTAAATTCAAAGATAAAATGGTAAGAATTCACTCTGATACAGTATGTCATTATATACTCGTCAATAACATCACGTCTTACTTTGTAAGTATTGAACAAGAACCAAAAACGAAAAAAAAATGTTCTGGAATATCGCACAGATATTGACAAAGTAACTCGAGAACTCAGCTGGATAACAGGATATCTTCAAACTCGTTTTCTAATTCAAATGATTGCATTTCAATAATTTGAACATAGCTTGTCTGATCTTTGTATTCAACAAACCGTAGATGAAAGGGTTGACTGCTGAGCTAAGCAGTACTAATTCCATTGCAATGTTTAAAAAAGTAACAAAAAGATCCCCGTCGTTTTCAGACTGCCCTACAGATGACCCTAATATTACACTAGGAAGAAACAACACTATAAGTGTGCATACAGTAAGGGCTGTCATTTTAGAAACTTTTACCTCCATTCCGTTCATAGCTGTGACAATCGCTGGAATATCGGCGGCAACTGAAGGCGACTGCAGTTCTTGCCTTTGTTCTGCTGGTCCCTCATTGATGAATTCGCTACCAAGGTGTTCGATTTGATCAACCGATAATTCATGTTTGGCTTTGACTTCATTTTGCTTTTTTGTTGTGAATGCCACGTTGCATTTTGACGTGGAAGGTATCGGTTCTGTCGGGCTTTCAGCTCGCAGTAGCTTTGGTCTACGTCCATCTCGAGTGGTTGAGATGGAAACGTCATTTGCTTGCCCTCTGTCCAGTTTCGTGCTTGTTGGCGGTATTTGAGCCTCAGCTCCCCCGGGTTGATGCTGGAGCATTTCGCATGGTGCACACGACGTTGACGCTATAGCTTCTCCACCCTGACTCACCCTCCGCGGACGTACATATAGAACCGGAGTTATCCTTGGGGCATTTTGATGCGAAGCATTTACTTCAGCTTGGTTATCGGCGACGAATCTTTCATTTATTCTTCTTTTTATAATATGGACATGACGGAAAATTGCAACGTACAGTCCAAAGACCACCAAAATACAAATTGGCCCGTGTGGAAAAATCACGTATTGCGTGAATTCCCTTTGGATGTCCTTTGCCCTGCATTGTTTGTCCGGGGACCAACTGTGCCAGCCACACAATGGGGGCAGATGTATGGCAATGCCGTAGAGCCAAGTCAGTATTATGGCCATTATGTGTCTCTTCCGGCTAAACATTTGTAGGTACCGAGTACTTCGACATATTTTTATGTACCTCTCAAATGCAATGAGTAACTGATGTAGGAGAGACGCTAGGAGCACACTTCCGCCCATGAAAATCTTTAAAAGACAAAACAATTTTTCATACCTCAAACGCTGCAGATCCGGCACCATATCAATCAGATACGTCGAAATAATACTCAACGGTGCGAAAAGGAGTCCGGTGAGCAGATCAACAATCGCAAGACTGAACATTGCATAATTAGTCTGCACTTGTAATTCTTTGAACTTTAGAAAAGTAGCGATAAAGACACTGTTACCGAAGATGATTGCGCCAGATAATATGCTCTCCACAACAATAAAAGCAACGCAAGTGCCATGTCGTAATTTGCAATAATGTGTCTCCGGGCTAGTTCCATTCAAAATAGAACGTGCAGAAAACGCTAGTACAGTCTCATTGCTCGTTGCAGAGCTCATTGTGAGATAACTTTGCGCCGCGGTATCAGTACAATGGTATATATATACTATGCATGTGGATGTTCCTGCTTCCACAAATGAAGGGTTTCTGGTACGTTCTATATGTCGTGACGTTTTATATAATTTTCCATTAAATGAAAAAAAAACAGCCAGTACGCTTATAAATAATATTGTGATAATGAAATCTTAGCACGTTTACATCCTCATCCTCTCCTGCATAGCAATTAAGGAACCCTTGCTGTGTTTCACCGGGTATCAACGAACATCGGTGACATATTCGTAAAGATGAAGTGCAATTTCACTTTAAGATGTATTTGCAACCGATGGTAGAACATTTTATTCATTTGATGAAAAGATGATTGTTTTCGACAAGACAACCTCAAAATAGCATTTAAAGAGCAATAAGAAGCCAGGAAATACGTAGATAAAAGCCATGGTGTTTTACGTAATCTTGTTTATTGAGCCACCGGAACGAACATAACATGATTTTAAAGAGTGAAAAATATCAAACCACTAGTAGTTACATATTCGTGAAACTAAGCTTCTTAAATTTCAAAAGATAGTGATTAAACCTTTTGCATATCATTTAACATAGGTTTACAATTTCTAGTAGTGTCACTGTTCACTTATTTGACTAGATCGATTTGGTAACTAACAACCCACCCCAGTGGATGGAATCCAAACCTTGTCAATTTTTAACAATCTGTAACATTAAAAGACAAAAAATTTTTGGACAGTTTTCGTCGAAATTCATTTTACAGCTTCGAGTTTTCTCGTTATTTTTCAACTAAAAATTAACGTATGTATACATTTGATTTTATGTATGCCTATTTACTAGTGAATAATGTAACCAAAATGTATATTGTTTTTATTTGTGACCTCTCAAAACTTCAATCGCGGCAGCACGAGCGTACGCCAATGGGTTAATACCAAACTTAATCATATCCTTAACTTGACTATGCACAGGATTTTTATTGCAATCACCAAAGCACCGTTCAGGTAGCATAAAATCATTTGCATTAACTTGCTGAGACCACTCGCTGTATACCTGTAGTCCCGCCCCCTCTTGGAAGAAACGAATAGGAAGCTTCGTTGCAACGTCCATCCAAAAGTGATGGCCGAGTTTCTCGTAGTGGTCCACTTCATGGTCGCCGTGTTCGTATTCGATCGTGATGGTCTCTCTACCGAGGAACGTGGCGTCGCCGAAAGCGTCATACTTCAATATGCCTATCCCAACGTCGTTGCAGAGGCAGAAATTGGGTAAAAATGGCAGCGTCGTGTAGGACATTGTACCGGTGTGCGTGAAATTTGAATTCAGTTTCAAAAACCCGACCCATGAAGGCCCGGCAAACCGGAGACGCAGATTCGGGTAGTCAAACAGCCAGAGATTGTCTTGCTGCACGTGCACCCGAAATGTGGCGTTGGGTTGAGCCGGAAATCCGGTCCAGCCTTGAATACGACAGACAAATTGCTTAGGGTAGAGAGGAGGGACGCGCTCTGCGACCGGGACGTCGCGGCAGTTCTTGCCGGGGGGCACACCTGCTGCGCCGGAGCACGGTTCCACGACATAAAGTGCTGGGGAAAGAAAGAAAAGAATAATTAAGTCAGACCCTCATACTCACTTCTTGACATTTGATTAATACATACTGTAAACCACACCGTAAACCTCGCCTCTGATTTTTTGTTTGTTTTTTTATTTGTTTTGGCAGAGGATAATGGCAAATAACGCTTCTTCCTGATTCCGCCCTCCGAAAGCACCTTGAATGCGGTTTTATTCATTTATACAAACTGCATTATAGAAGCAAATCAACAGTCACTAATTAAACAAAAATACTCCTATAATCTGCCAGTTTTGGACATTGTGTACCTCGGAGATAAAGGTTATCAATCCGAATCTTTTCTCTTTAGCCACTCAAAAGTGTAACGAGCTCTGTGTGCTTTGAAGGATGCCACCCTAATCGACCGGATCCACCCCTCCTACTGTTCTTATTTATCAGGCCTACCCAACTACCAGACTCGGCACCAAAGGATCCTGAATTAACCGGTATATCGGACCACACTACCCGTTTTCAAGGTGTGTGTCAGATCGCATTTCGGAGTATCATAACCCAGAACAAATTTTGTAGCACGACTGCGGGCTCATCCACGCTCGGCTGAACAACCTTAAACTGTACTCTTACTTTAGAGTCCTCTATTTTTTTTTAGTCTCTATGGGGATATATGGAGACTTTACGACATTCGGTTTGAATGTTTTAACCACTTTTGATAGGGCTTTTTTTGCATTGTATTAGATTAATGTGGCAGTCTAAGGTTCATCTAGGTGGCTTTCAAATTTATGCACCCGGTTTTAAAATCATACAGCGATTTTACGACAATCGTTTACTATCCAATCAAGGTGACAGCCGAGCATGCCAGGGCTCATCCTGTCGGTGTTCTGGCTGATACTCCGAAATGCGATCTGACACACACCTTGAAAACGGGTAGTGTGGTCCGATATACCGGTTAATTCAGGATCCTTAGGTGCCGAGTCTGGTAGTTGGGTAGGCCTGTTTATGACCCATTGCGCTTAAACTCAACGTCAATTGACTCCTGAACGTGTAAACATGGGCTAGGTGAAGATATCTGCGAACCGTTAAAGATAAGATGTGAGGTTGTGCGGTCAAGTTCGCCGTACACTTACGCAAGTCCACTTGACCCCTTTTCTGGTGGCACGTGAAGTTACCATTCACGTGCCTTATTACATACGTTAATGTAAATGAGAAAGGGTTTAATTTGCCATCAAATCACAATATTAATAAATACAATGTAAATAAATAAATAAATGTATAAACATGAATACGTGTAACGTAAAATACACATGGAATAAGTCAAGTGCTGTGAAATAATAAAAAGAAGAGAAATACTACCCCGGTATACATGTACTTTCGACAACAATGAAAATAATCGAAGTACGATCAAGAAAGTCCAGATATCAGATTCCCAGATAAAAAAAAAACGTGATGAACAAAAAAATGGGAAAAAAGAGAAGAAAAAAAACTCAACTTATTTTACCAAAGGACTGCTCACATGATAATGATGAGCTTTGCAGTGATGCGTGTTTAGTACTTGTTCAATACTACGTACAGGAAAAAGCAACAAGTGAATTATGGATGATACTAATAACTGCTTCAGGACATCTTGAATATATAGCGTATGACAGCGGTGTATAATTTAATGCGGTTGAGTGGACAAAATGCGGATTACCAACTTTTAAATTGAGATTGAAGAATTTCGTTAAGTAACTATTACTGTTCATTGGAAACGGTATTGGGGTATTCCACGGTATAAAATCAATAAAATCAAATATCACAAATAATTGAAACAACCCCCTTTCATAAAAATTTTACAACACATGTATGGGAATCGCCAAGCATAGAGCAAATTTGCCACTTTCAGCGATTGACAGTGCAAGGCAAAAACCAACACATCCTGGAGGTGTTCAGCTAATTTGGGCAGCAGCTCACCTCGATGGTCATATTACACTATTTCAGTTTTAGTTTGAACGCAGCTTTAGTGCGCTGAATTGTTTTTAAATCAACGATTGGTGTTTGAACACGTAAAACTGATTCAAAGGGGTACACCAATAACATGCTACTTATGTATAATAAGGGTGTGTAAACATACCGTGTTTTGTAGTATTTCTATACCCTACAAGCACCCAACTTACCCGTTGCAAACTGCAACGACGCAAAAGTACTGATCACCATAAGGCACAAACTCCACGTTGCCATTTTGGGTTCTTTGTCATCAACAGAAGTCGTGTGCACTTCTTTGATGTTATATAGCAAGGGTGCCCTGATGCCAAGGTCAACTCGAAGTCAAATATGGGATTGCCTGATTGGAAGTGATAGGCAAACAACGTGCACAATGTACGGTCATTTTGCTGCTTACCGATAAAGAGGACCAGTAATGATCATGAAAGCTTTACCAAGCACGAGCTAGGGGGACACTAGGCTTCGTTCACATAGAAAGTCTATTTTCTAAAAATCTATTTTCTATTCGCGGTATCTTATGATCACGGTCTGTGCCCTGAATATCCCGCGGCGTAATTACTGGCAGCGCGAGTCAGTTACCGGCAGCGCAAGCCAGTTACTATAAGTTACTGTAAGTAACTGACTCGCGCTGCCAGTAATTACGCCGCGGGATATTCAGGGCACAGACCGTGATCATAAGATACCGCGAATAGAAAATAGATTTTTAGAAAATAGACTTTCCATGTGAACGAAGCCTTAATCCATACTTGGTTTGCGTTGCACATACAGTCATAAGTCTTTGGGATAAGCTTATGCCTCGGTTTCTCCACCCTGCTACATGCTTGTTCCCTTTTACAGCCACGGCGATCACAAATGTTGATAACATAGCTTACTATATGACAAAAACGTATCTCAAAAGCCCGAAGGGCGGTTTTTTTTTTCTATCGTACCTCACAACACTACATGTATTGTAAAAGAATGACTTTCAGGTATTTGTTATTAATATGCATAAGCTATTCTCTAAAAACAATAAGAGAGATGTCGGTAAGGCTGCAGTTGTAGAGCAAGTGTGTCTGTTTTCACAAGTTCAAATATTAAAATGAAAAAAAAAAAAACGCCAGGCATATAAGACTTCTTAATTTCTTCAACTACCATATAGTTTCATGTAGCCAACGTGTTTTCACGCCGTGAGAATTATCAGGTATGGATTTTCTCTTTAAAACGTGTGAAATTACACTTCCTAATTAAGATATTACGTATGACAAATTCATTCCATGTATTCAAAACATGCCAGAGATTTTTAAACGTCACGACAATTTCCCTGCCTTGATCCCGATCTTGGACGGCAGGTGTTCTGCACCTTCAACAATTAAGGCTTGATTACAGTCACCAAGCACCTGCATTGATTTGGCGTAGTGCCAGTTTGTTCTTTTCGTAAACAGCAGACAGAATTTCTCCATAAATTCAAATAAAATAGTCATGGCAGATAAATATTGACGATCTAGGGAAAGTGGTTTCAACGAGAACTTAATGCGGGTGCCTTAAATTTTCATATTTTATTATTATTATTATTATTATTATTATTATTATTATTTAATAACTGTTTCTATTTCGCCTTGGGGAGTTATGCACTGTAAGGGTGTTCACCATGCAGTCACACACCTTCTTAGCATTTTGCGTCATTCAAAGATATCCATCTGAACTGTCAACAATGGACCGTTTTTACGGGTGTACCTTTACAACCCTTGAAATCTTTATTAGTGCATCTCATATATAAAATAAATTACTCTTAAAACCAGTAATCATCCCTTCCCAAATGAGAAAAGCGTTAATAATGCTGCGAGGCGGACTACATGTGATAATACATGTAGAATAGTAGCTTGTTCACAGTCTCACCCTTCCCTGCATGGCAATTAAGAGTCTCTTGTTATGATTAAGCTGGTGTCAACGAGTTTCGGATAGATGGAAATACGATTTCACGTAAACATGTGCATTTGCATCTAATGACACGCTCTGACAGTAAAGTTTATCATTTACTTCATACGATAAAAAATTTCGACAAGACAGTAGCAATATCTATCTTTTATGTGAGATAAATTACTTAACACAAAGGTCGAGTTGAAATATGTTCATATACTTATATTTAATTTCTTCAACTTTTCTACTCTGTTGTTATTATAATTATTACACGTATATTTATGTTTTATTTGTTAATCTATTTATTTACTTATTTTGAAAACGCAATGTACACATATACCGATAAAGGTTCGTTTGCTTTTCCATATTTGATTTGTTAATTTCGCGTAAACTATAATGGTTACTTTGTGTGTAACTCACAGTCACATCATTGAAGATAACAATAACAATAACAACAACAACACTCAACATGATAATAATAATATTTTATATCTAAAAAAATTGCACTATACATACGTCTCAATGTCTTTAAACTATTAAGACATTTAGTGCCATTAAGAATATTTAACCAACACTTAGTATAATATAATTATACTACTATTCTTACTGTTTGGCTATGAAAACGTTTCCAAGCGGTTTTGTGATTGCTGCAGGAACACAGGGCAATTCGCCCTCACATCTACTCAGCCGCCACTAAGAATTACTTGATGACTACACTTTTATTACCTCCCTATATAGCCAAGAAAAAACTCCAGCGAACGTTGGAATAAGCTTCATTGGAACCCTCCATACCATCGAAGTCAGGTATATTTATCAGAGGCCACACAGAGCCTATCATTTAGATTGTCTTCCAAGGAAACCCAGTTACTACAGCCTTAAGCTGTCACAGCCAACGCAACGAGTACACAATATTCACTTGGAGCAAAACCGTTTATTTAACCTTCACGTATTTACCTATACCCTCTACTCCATCAGAATAGACACTTGTTGTTTTTTGAACCCTAGACAGCCGTTAGAGAAGATCGTCCAACTGAAATATCTACCTAAATTATATGCATTTTCTACTTCAAAGGGAAAAAATATCCGTGGACATGTCAGCTTTTTTTCGTTGCGACTCTGCACTCACTGGCCTGTCGTTATTTTCTATCACACTCACTCCAAACCCGGCAATAACATTGTTTGATTTTCCGCCAAGTCGAGAGACACCCATTTCGGATGACACCCATTCTTCGTGTGTTACGAGTCATTCCAATACATACGTTCATTAAAAAAAGTCAAAGATGAAGGAGTCAATGGTTCGACGACACACTATCATCGGGATTCACACAACCGGATAGGTTAGTTCCCTGATGAAATACGTGGTAATATTTCCGAGTACACGTCACAATCAGGTATAGGATAAAAAACGCTATCCCCACACTCATCAATATGGCGAATAAGTATACTAGCTGTGGGTTTTTGTGCGGCGCCAGCCAATCTGAAATCAGTAAACGGCAATTGCTATAACTTAACATCAAAAATGAATACGTGGTAATACACGTATCTCAGATTACACGACCCGGTACATGATCGAAGCATGACTCCACACCCATCAGAATACGAAAAAGCGTCACCTTATTAATTTTCATGATTTCTAATAGTGATAAGGGTTGGTTTGTTTTTGATACGTTTTGAATCATTGCACACCTGCTGTTGAAAATAAATTTTTACAATTCTTTATGTTACAGTGAAATAATATGAGGAAGTCGACCCTGTGTTTCGCGTGTACATGTACATGTATTATATGCATCCCTTTTTTAACATAAAATGGATGGCATTCATATTTGATTTCACAAGGGAATACCTCACCTTCTTTTCCAAAATTAATAATCATCGTGGATAAGTAATAGCCGATTCCCATATTTATGAAAACCAGGCTTATGGATGTAGACTTGGTGAAACTGGGAGATTCTATATACGCAATTTCATAACCTGTAAGATCGAATAAATTGACAATTGACAGGGACCCTGTTTCATTGACGAACTGATGTCGAAAACAGGCTTCAGCATAGGCTACCGTGTATGTTAGTTTACTGTTGCGTCAGTGAAGGAATATACAGTAAGAGGTCGCTAATTTTCTAAACTTTATCTTAAGATCTAATATTCCTACTCTACCAATCCATGTAACATTGTTTCTTAATGTGAAATACCACTCGAAACATATTCGACTTTAAATTTATCGGTGCGACAAGTTGAGACTTTGACAATCACCCATTAAATTTTACAGAATACAGTTTTATCACATCTTTTAAATTTTTTTATCGACCTTTATACCTGGAATATACACAAACACTTCTCCAAGACCCATTAGAATATACTGCGGGGTCTGAACCAAAATACTGAGCTGGGAGGAACTTCGGGTGGCTTCCACCAGGATCGCCGCAAATGCAGACAGTATGCCACAGAGTGTGCCAAATCCTACAATGGCAAAATACAGTTGAATAATTATAAAATACAGAGAGTATGCCACATAGTGTGCCAAATCCTATAATGGCAAAATACAGTTAGATATTTATAAAATACAGACAGTATGCCACATAGTGTGCCAAATCCTTTAATGGCAAAATAGAGTTAGATATTTATAAAATACAGACAGTATGCCACAGAGTGTGCCAAATCCTGGTAAGGCAAAATACAGTTAAAAAATCCGGGCATTATGCCACATAATGCACCAAGACCGGGAACCTAAGACCGCATTCACAACGAATTGAGCCAGGCTTTACAAACCCCACGCGTCGTCCCTGCGGGGGTACAGTCATATCTCTGCTCCATTGGGACTACACATGGGGAGGCGTGTGAGAGGCGGAGAGACTATTAAAAGATTAGGCGGTTTTTCTTTCATGTACGTCCGCCATATTTAGTCCCCAGGATTTGTAAAGCCTGGCTCAATTCGTTGTGAATGCGGTCTAAGACACCCAATTCAAAGGCAAACAATTCCAAGTAATCCCTACTCACATTTATACAGTATCTCTCGTCTTTTCACGCGCCATCTTCAACTCACGCGTGATTGGACGAGAAGCTATAAGAGACGTCACTTACAGTTTACTTACCGATCCTATAAAGGTGTGATATCTTAATTCCCTTCGACATCAAGAACGGCCATACAAGAATATCCAGAATTGGAATTATTATAATAATGATCAACACATCGAATGACCCTATGGAAGACGCTGTTATTTTCCCAGTGCCGATAAACGTTGCATTTAAGCGCTGACCTTGGATTTGGTAGGTGCTCTGGAACTATTGAATGCATGAAAATCATGTGTCAAGTTTTCGTAAAAGAATTGAACAATACATAGAAATTATTCGTATTAAATTGCGTTAATGACCAAATCTAACGTTCAAGGATAGGAACGGTTCTTCAGAGGGAAACATATTTCGTGTGTGTGTGTGTGTGTGTGTGTGCGCGTGCACATGACATAACTTACCGATGACATAATAACACTAAACCCTAACAATGTTGCAATATTTATAACAACTCTGGTGAACATTTTCTTGTCTTCCGCCTCCACCGCAAAGTTGCGCCGTGTTGATAACGTAGCATGGCTTCCACTGTTACATTTACCGCTTTTGAATCGTTCTAATACCTGTCGTGCCGCCACGAGTAACCAGTAACCTTAAAAGACCAATAAAACAGAAAAATATCGGCGCCTGCAACGCAGATTTGTTAATCAATAGTAAGTCGTATACATGTAGAATTAATCTTCTTTATAAAAATTAAAACCTTTTAAAGCTTGAAATATTCTACTATTCTGCAAGAAGATAATTTCTGCTGCAGGTTCTGTCGGGTCCAACCCATGCCTTATTATTATAACAACATTTCAAACATTTACCGGTATTTACATTTATATCAATATTTCAATGTGGACTACCCACTTATCTGGGGCCTAAGAAAACTAAAATCTTTTATCTATTATCTTTGGTCTATGAAGTCTAAAATGTGGAATAAAACCGACCTATTTTGGTCCTAAGAAGACTAAAATCTCCAGTTCTTTTGTGAGGCTAGTGTAGAAAGAATGGCAAGCTCTCTCCTAACATTTCGTGCAGGTGACATTCGTCACCGACCCTTGCCTTTTGACGGAACCTATACCTAACCTATACAAATCTAAAGGGATCCCATTCTTCCATTCTTAGGATTACGCAAATTGTCCAATTGTCATTGCTCAAACTAGGTATACAGATGATTTTGTGATTATTTTACAGTGGAACTAAAAAATATGTATATACGGTTTACAAAATAGTCCACGGTTTAAGTAATAATGTATAAAGAAAGTAGGCAACGTACTTGGATTGTCTCTTTCCGTGCACCATTTTTTGGTGAGGTGGAAGGCAATTAGCGCTATGGTAAGAGACAGCGGGGCAAACATGAAACCCAACCAGTAACCGTCAACATTCTCTATGTAATTTATCCCTGTTATGGCCGTTAAAGCACCAACGTTAATGACGAAGTAAGACCTGAAACAATATGACGTGATGAACATATTTTATATTGCGTCATAAAGGGTAAACACAATGCACGTCTGAATTTAAGACCACATCTTCATACGTTTTTCTAGTATTATATTTCTCTGGGGATAAGGCCTTCTATGGCAGCATTAGCGTTAACTGTGTAGTAAGACCAAATGTGAAAATCTAATAGGAATTATACATTTTTAATCGAAATTATTCAATAAAAACTCATGTTGCGCTGAGAGAGAGAGAGAGAGAGAGAGAGTTAACGTCAAAAGAGACATCATCAACTTCGCGTTTATCGGAGATTTTAAAGTCTACGATAGCGTATTTATAAACAAGTAACGCATGAATCCAGCTGATTGTTAAATTTCGAGACGTTCTTACCAGTGAAAGAAAGATCTTTGTGCAGATTTCGTGTCAATCTGGTCCGCTCCATAGGGAGTAATCACAGAATTAACACAGGCTGCGCCAACAGCACACAGAGATAGACCCGTGTAATACAAACCGACCCGGGTGTTCTGAAACGAATGGCATTTACCAAAATTACTCCATAAGCTTTATGTGCCTTTCAAACTTGTAAAAGACTAGTANTTAACGTCAAAAGAGATATCATCAACTTCGCGTTTATCGGAGATTTTAAAGTCTACGATAGCGTATTTATAAACAAGTAACGCATGAATCCAGCTGATTGTTAAATTTCGAGACGTTCTTACCAGTGAAAGAAAGATCTTTGTGCAGATTTCGTGTCAATCTGGTCCGCTCCATAGGGAGTAATCACAGAATTAACACAGGCTGCGCCAACAGCACACAGAGATAGACCCGTGTAATACAAACCGACCCGGGTGTTCTGAAACGAATGGCATTTACCAAAATTACTCCATAAGCTTTATGTGCCTTTCAAACTTGTAAAAGACTAGTAAAAATTGACTGGTTCACGACCCCATTGCGTCTTCAACCAACACGGGCTGTTGAGACTATGCGTATACATGCACAGTATATAATCTCTGTTTTACAAGTCTTCTTGTTGGCAAAAGGTGACAAAGAGCGTTTTCTAGGCAGAGAAGCGTCCCACAATTGGATGTGCAAATATACAAAGCAATACTATACTTATAACTCTCACAATGTGCCTTAACATACTGAAAAGAGAAATGGTAGTAATATTAATGTTATAGTTTCATCCTGATCACATTTATCAAGTTCGTATTTGATACAACTATGATATGCGTCGCCATAAGTTGCCCACTTAGCTTAGGCATTCCAGTAGCTCATACATCAGTTTTTCTTAATTTGGCTTAGTTTACACAGAAAAAATCTTTTCCGATAACTAAAGAACCCAAAATTAACAGATACTTATTTTACTTTTGAAATGTAAAGGAAAGTTTACAGCTAGTTCCCACAGAGCAGAGAACGTTAAACCAATGGTTGATTCACTTGCCGCATCGCCAGGTGATTTCACTGACATCTGAACAAGATCAGGTTAATCTCTGCATGACACCCCAAAATAGGGTAAAATCTCTCATTATCATAAATATGGATATTGATAACAATACTACATACATTAGCACTATACATAAGTATACATACATATACCTACCTGTTCCTGATATATGTCCCCGGCAATCGTCAGAAATATTCCACCTGCAGAGATGAAAATTAAACGCCATTTTTTTCAATCACTCGAGCTGTAATCTTATTGATAATTCTATGTATATTTTTAATGATTTATAATTAATTTATTAACCAATATGGAGGTTAACGAAATAAAAATAGCTTATCCTCGTAATAACACGAGAGAGAGAGAGAGACACCCAAAGATCCTAAGATACTGTGTACACTCACATACTTAAAATGTACTACAACTTTAAGATATTGCACAATATGCGGCATACATACCAAGTATATACACAGGGAGACATATTGTAAGCAACTTCTTCTTGCCCAGGAGGGTATCTGCAATAATTCCAGGGACCAAAGGCAAGAAAAACGCAGTTCCTTAAAGAAAAAGTGCACTTTTACCTTGGTATTCTATCAGAGAGTCATGCAGAGTGGGTTGCTCTGACTTATAATCTCTTGTAAGATAAAAGATGATTACATATCGGAAGATGGACGATAAGTTGGCCTATAGACACTGCCGATTTCAAAGGCCTTATTTTCTACGCCATTCGGGCCAATTACAATCCAAGCACTCCACCCCGCCTGTTTATTCATTATCCTATCCAATAATTAATTAATTAATTAAAATCATAAATAAAATGTAGTGAGGAAAAAAATATTTTAAGAAGAAGAAAAAAAGATTGCTTCATCAACAATTAACTTTATCTGTTGATGATTCAACAAACAAGTTCAGAGGTTTACGTAACAAAAGGGTCACAAAGGATGGCTTTGCTAACAAAAAGGCATTTGCAAGGCGAAATGCTTGCCACAGTTACACTGAATGGTGAGTATACCTAATCAGTTCAATAAAGGTCCCAAAGCTATGGAATGGGGTCAGTAAATAGTGATATGATACGATTAATTTTGATAAAAGGGACGGAACATACGATTTCTATTTTATGAATATTTTATTTCTACTACTTCATAGATAGCCCACTCGTCTCATCTCCAAGTCATTATTTATCATTTTGAAAATAACTATTTTCGTGACTCCTTCAAAAATCGCTTTTTTCTTTTTGAGAAGTGAAAGTTCAAAGAATGCGCATATGCACCTCACTTAATCAAAGGTTAATGAAGGCTTAACTGAGCGGTACTAAAACGCACATTTTAACGCGAAGCTCGAAAGCAGAATACGTTTAAGAAATCAGTTAGAGGACATCTGCAGAAAAAGTAAATTGGTTGGTTTGTTCGTGCTCAAAGCCCGCACAGGTCTACTGTGTCTTTAATATCAAAGTTCATTTTATGTGACAATAGCTTACTGCTAGTACACGTGAGAGTGAATGCTGATGACCTATATCAACGTATTGCAATATGTGTAAGAACTAGTGCGTTGAAAGTAGTTAAGGGAAGAGATGACTCTACCGCATTTCTTTAATTAAAAATTAAGCATAAAATGTTTTACTTATTATTATTATTATTGTTGTTGTTGTTGTTAAAATTATTATTAATAATCATAATGATAAAAAATACTGAAAATACAAATAAATATATAAATCAATCAATCAATCAATCAATCAATCAGTAAATAAATAAATAAATAAATAAATAAATAAATAAATAAATAAATAAATCCATTGGACTCTCTACTGAACGACCCCGGATTATGCCTACCATGTTAATCGATATGCCTGGATGTTCTTTTATCGAAATTTTACAACAGGATGACATAACGCGCTTAGGCATGTAGTTATTCCATCACATTACATTTATACCTGTCCAACTCAGGACGTAGGATGTAGGCCTATTTACAAGAGCAACTGTGCACAGGCTTGCTATTATACAGTGTATCAGTGCCATATCAAATACACAGAATTATCTTAGATCAAATGTGTATTCCAGTTATCTATAAATGAAAAGCTAAATATATCATTAGAACCCTGGTACTCTAACTCTTTATGAGCTTAAAATCCCTTATTGTTCACATTCGCGTGCAAATGCCCGTGTGCGCACGTATATAATGTATGTGCGTGCGAGTGAACATAACAGCTGCAAAAGAACGTGTTTTTTACCTTGAAAAAGCAAAGCAACTGTCAGTCCGCTGCCCTCTTCGATTTTATCATCACAGAATGCCACAAGGTTTACAGTGATGGCATAATACGCTAGTCTTTCACAGAACAAAATTAGTAAAATACTTAGAACTGCCGCACGAGATTTCCAGCGTTCCAGCGGACTGTCCTTGAGTTCTTCATGGAGCAGCGGAAGCCCCTCTTTTTCCTTATCCATGAGATATCATAAAGTATTACAAATCGATTCGATAACAAGTGTAATATTCATGCAACAAATGCATATTTCTTCCGGGTTCACTTAAATGTTTATACCCCGCATATCTCTATATAACCTATATATTGCACTGTATCCGGCACCAGACCTCGATTTCAAAAGTCTCCAAACGAGGCTCAAAACGACCACTTTTGCCATCTGTAGCACGATTTCAAGGGCCCTATTTTTCAGATTTGTGGTGTTAATATCAATTAAACAGTGTCAGAAAAAAGCAATTGCCTTATCATGATCCCAGTTGAACTTACGTGGTTGAAAAAGAACTTGATAGAGCGATAAATTGCGAATACGAAGAGGTGAAATAAATTTTGACCCTCCTTTTTATGGCAACTCCACTACAGTAGTATGATGACATAATATGTGAGGCCTCACTTTATATTTTCCTTTGTTTTCACGTATGGTTACGCAGTTTCCCTGCCATTACTTATTAATTGCTATCAGCAAATGTGAGGTCAGGGTGAAATGAGTCCATATAAGAATCAAATTATATTAGATTGTTTCATGCCCAGGGCCTACCGGTAGAATACATGTAGACAAAACGACTAAGTTTTCAGAACACTGCGTCATTTATTCGATTGTTCAATAAATAAAAGATTATAATATCAAATACAATTTGAAATAGCAAAAGTGCTTCAAATGATAAAACAAGACTATTTATTGTTATTTTACATTTGGTAAAATGTCTAAGCTTCCAACACTGTATCTACACCTCATATAATAACGTACATGTAAATATAATAAGTAAAATATTTTACAAACCATGCAATGATCAAATGAAAACATATATATGCCTCTAACAATGCTATCAACACGTTTACGGGACTTATGTAAAACTATTGTAAAATTGCTCAAGGAGATCCTGAACACAAGCTCCTCTAGCTACGAAATTCGGTAGGACCAATCAAAACTAATACTGATCCTGAAAAATCTGTTTGCATAATTAAGGCCCGAAGGAAATGTGAAGGTGCAATTTGTCTTATCAAAAACGTGTTCAATATCCAATTGTTCCTGTCTAACTATTCGCACCCTTTAAAAATTGACTCTGCCCATGAGCACACTTAACCGAAACCAGCACGGTTTGCGTGCAGTGCGAGAAGCAGAAATTTATGGCTTAGGTGAAATGGAATAGAAAAAAAGGTGGATCTGTCCTCCATAGTAATATCCAGAAGTCTCAGCTTTACGAGTCCGAAAGTCTTCTCTTAAAAAAGCAAAAAGGTAAAAATCGGTGAAAAAAAATTCAAATGTAATTTGGTAACGATAACAAGATTCTAGGCATTTTTTTCATGCTGCTCCATAGTTTTTTGCTTTCCACCATAACTGTCATACGTAATATAACAAACGCTGAAATATATTCACGTTGAGGATTATGTCACATCCATCGCACTGTTTAGGAACAGCTAATGTACCCCTAACACAATAACAGAAGTTGAATACTGATATACGACCGAGATCCACCGATGATACAGTTTTATTCATCATTTTAATACACGTGTACAGTGGCACTTATTCTGTCCAGGGGCGGATCCAGGATTATTTGAAGGGGGGATGACAGGCCGATCAAGCGAAGCCGACCTTCCCCCTCCCTTGGCATGGGGTTTCGGGTCCCGAAAAAAATTGGTATTTTAGAAGGCAAACGGTGTCATTTGGTACGGTTAAGAACTATGATTCAGCTATTATTCAAAATTCTAAATTTAAGAGGGAACTATTGGTGTGATTTTTTTCAAAAATTGAAGAGGGGTCTGGACCCTCCTGAAACCTCCCTAAATCCATCACTACTGTCACACGATTTCGTGCCTTCCATTTCCCCGATTATCGCCATTTTTGGGTTTCCGCGTGCAAGCTACGATCAGATATAAAATAAAGAATACGACCACCACGCCTTCCAAAATCAGGAACGGATACGATAATTTTGGGTCTTCGTCATTCATCGGGAACCAATCTGAAACCAATTTAAAATCTGTTTAATGTAAGGAACACGCCAATAATTGGAACTGCATTGCGTTTCAAATGATACGAACGAACTAATAGTCAATTTGACTGGTTAGTACCCTAAAATCATTACTTATCGGAACGGAATGGAACAGAAAGGACGAAAACTGAACGGCTGGGTATGGGAAGATAGCAGTGGAGAACTAGAGAGAACTTAAGTAGAGAAGTGTGCCAGGCTGTAAAACTAAGTTCTGCATACAGAAAGGCACCGAGTATAAGCGTAGAACACAGAAAAGTAAAGCAGAGGAGAGTGGAGGGCATATTTAAAAGGAGGAATTAAAGCCTAGTGTCGCTTTTATAGGGAATCGAATTGAAATGGAACATATTCGAAATAAACGGGACAGAAAAGATAACGGTTTAATCAATGCGATTAAAGGAAAAAAAGAAAAACGCCAGACAAGAATGAAAATATGAAAGAATACATCTTTAAAAAGTGTAGGTACTTACTTTGACGTTCTTCTACTAAATTTATAACAAATGCAGATATGTAAAATCCTATCCCGCTCGTAGTCCAGACGAGCCCCATTGTCGTGGATTTGGTAAACGCTGGAGACTCTATGTATGCCATTTCATAGCCTAAAGATTAGCAAAATAAACAAATAAAACACACGCCGATTGTAAAGCAATGTACACTTAATTCCTAGTAGGTATAATTGCGATTTACTGGCATTTTGAAGACTTTGATAATTACTAATACTGTCAATACCTCAAAATTGTGTAATTTTTGTTATTGTGTAATTTTTGTTACTTAAGACTCTGAACACTATTCTGTTTGTTACTATTGATATTTACTAGTATATTACAGCATACATACTTCATTTGCACTTTTTCGACTCTTTAATTCTATTCATTTATACTTTACACACAGTATAATATAGTAATCTATTGAGCATTAGTTTATGTACTGAAATATGAGATTTTTGGCCGAGACAGAGAAAATATGGCATTAAGCAAAACACACTTTTCTCATTTTTAAGTTTAAAACGTATCCAAGTATAAAACTTTCTTGCTTACAAGGTATGAAGGCAAGTATCTCTCCAAGACCCATAAGAACGTACTGCGGCACCTGGGCCATGATACTTAGTCCGGTGTGGCGGTAATGTTCCACCAGAAGTGCTGCTAACACTGACAAAATACCGCACAATATGCCAAAACCTAGAGAAAAATAAAAACATTTGTGGCACAATAATAAAGTAACATTTTTACTGGAAGTTACAGATATAGTAAAGAGAATGTTGAAAAAGGATTGATTTGCATCTTGAGGGGCCTTTTTGTGTAAATTTAACAAACTATCAGTTGAAGGGAGATGTCCCCAACCTCTACATCATCCCACCACCACTACCGTTTGGTTATTTGTTTTCAGGATATAGAACAATAAAACTTGTGCCGTGTAATGGAAACTAAGTCAAACAGCATGCCGAACAATTAGAGCTTTATAGATTTTAGGAGATCACCAAGATTGAAAACAATGCATAAACCAGTAAAAATTGAAATAAATAAATAAGACCAAGAAATATTACAGGCCACGCTTACCTATTCTATGAAGATAAGAAACCCGTATTCCCCTTGACATCAAGCACGGCCAGACAACTCTGTCCACAATGGGTATTATAAGTAAAATAATAGCGTTGTCAAATGCCGACAAGGAGGACGACGTGATTTCCTTTCCTCCGATAACTGTTGCGTTCATATGTTCTCCTTGAAGAGTATAGACAGTTTGGTACTAAAATAAATAGATAAATAAATAGATAAATAGATTTAAATAAATAATATGCACATACATGTTTACATATTGCCTTTTGACTAAATCACTAAAAATATTTTGGAAATGATAAGATCAGAGTTATTTGTATGTCGCCTCTTGCCGTTGAATGTATTCATAATTCATTAGACTAACATGTTATACTGGTCTTGGTTGTTGTTTTGAAGGAACCATCGTAGTAATTGCGTGTTTACAGTAACTTATGACAAGACATACTTAATACCTCCGGGGTTTAACCAGTAAGGAAAAACTTTGAACGGGCTGTTTATACCAGTTCTGTCGCTTTCTATGTGAGAACATAGCGCGTTAAGTACGTTTTAATCAAGACCCGATTTCATGGGTCGCATTCACAACAGATGTTCCTCGGATCTACTGGTGCGGGGATCAAATATGAAAGCAAGACCGCCTAATCCCTTAATGATCTCCCCGCCTCCACACGCGCCTTCTCTGCAGGGGCCTAGCAGTTAATCCTCGAAGCCGAAATTTAATCCGTTTGGACGCGGTGAGAGGATTAACGGATTACTTGGTCTTGCTTTCATGTAGGGTTCGCCATATTTGACCTGGAGACAAGTGCATCCGAGGATCATCTGTTCTGAATGCAACCCAAGGACTTTGGAAGTAAACCTATTCCAGAGAGTACATCGATGCCTTAATTTTCACCTTTACTTTCCCTCACTTGATTTACCCTCACTTTCGACTCACCGCAGAATAAACAACACTAAAACCCAATAGAGTTGAAATGCACACGAGGACGTTGGCGAACGCTTTGGCATCGTTTGGATCCACGGCCAATCTGTTTCTTTCAGGTAACTGGTGTGTATTGCCGCGTTTCGCTTGCCCTGTCAGGTGCTTCACGGCGACAAAGAGCAAATAACCTTTAAAAACAAAGCAAAATAATAAACTTTTTATAGTAATATATATATATATTAATACGCATAACTTACGAAAACTAATTTGAAAAAATTCCTTAGTTAAAAAAACTATTTGATGATGCCATTTACTTATTTGCCTATGAATTTGCTTTGTTTGAAAGCGCCATGTGGCAGATTATATGAATTAATCAGCCAACACCCGATAGAACAGACGTGTGAATGTGTGAATGTTTCTTCAAAATCGTATTCAAATGCACAGTATAATCAATCGCTTTACAGACGTAAATCAATTAAAATAAATGTGTATATAATTAGATTTATATACTTGGCTGTTCCGTCTCTCGGCACCAACGATTGCCAACGTGGAAAAATACCAGTGCGCATAGAAGCGAACACGGGGCAACAACGTAACCGGACCAGTAGCCTTCTTCCAGCTCAATGTAATTAATACCAGTGACCGCAATAAGGCTACTAACATTTATCACGAAATAAGACCTGAAACGCAACAAAGACATATTCAATATAATATAACTCGATAGTAAAAATATTTTATTAACCTGAGCATCTTATCATCAACAAAAGTGAAAAGGCTGGCTTCAAAGAAATATAGAAAAAAAATGATAAACCTTTTATCACTTCCCAGGCAAAACCGCATAAAAACGTCGTAAAAGAACGTCGATAACACAGTGTTTGTTATCGGAGAATTGATTATAAAGGTACGCTGATAGTCAAATTGCATGCTTAAGTCTTTTAAATATTTAAAAGTATTTTTGTTTAAAATTACTCAATTAATTGTAGAAAATACAGCCTGTATTTTTAAATGCTTATGTAACTTGGCACTATGTCTACTAGACCCCATTCCCAGAAATTAGATCGATCCAACTAGATCGACCCAACTCCCTGGGGGTTCACGCTAAATAGCTGTCAGTCGAGCGGGCACGAAAGTTATTTGCCCCCTTACAGCTTGTAGTAGGCGGGACGGACATTTAAGCCGGATTATCTGACAGTAATCTAGTGGGACTCCCCACGGGGATAGATCGATCTAAAATCTATGGGAATGCGCCCCTAGAGTACTGCAATTACTTAGGTGGTGATTTAGGGATTCTACTTTTACAATTGCAATCAAAATAAAGAGCTTTCATAAAGATTAGTTTTATGATGAATGGACATTGAAACACAAACTTTGAGCTATTAGCATGGAGATGACTGTGGTTTATGAGTATCATATGTAATTATAATTTAACAAGTTATGAGCTCAATAGAATACTGCCCCTTAAAGTTGAAAATCACTGGTTGTCTTTCGCACTGATGAAGAAAAACTATTGGAATTAAGATAAATAAATACATAATCCTAATAACTGTCATTTTTCATATTATCACACCCGTTTATTTATTGTCTCGTGAATTCTTGTTCATAATTTATTTTAGAGTAAATAAAGTCTCCGGGGAGATCCATTGAAGAGTAATGCCTGCCCAGTGCAACCTCAATTTCATTCGCGTTCAAAACGTCTGTTTCTATATATTGCCTATTCCGGGACTTCGTCAGATCCCCACTTTTGACATAAGGATATAAGATAACAATGTGATAGTTTTACTGCATCAAGACAAATGATTATCTAGTACACAGTGTATCATGCACTGACATGCCACACATTCATTATCTGCATTGACACCTTCCTAGATATAACCCCGTCGGACGACCATGAAAACCGTCGTACAATTTGAACCATGCGCCAAGAGTATTAAAGTACAGCCAATATATTGATAGCACAGTAAATTTCCAATCTTATCTGGTTACTGTTTACACTGTAAGAATTACCCAGTATATTGACTATTGTCGTACTCAAGATAATGAAAGTTTTGATCGGATGTGTTCAGCAGTGGTGGGTTGAGGGATGAGGGGAGGGGGGGGGGGCAAAAATATGACATAAACGGTACATAAGGACACATTTGTTATAATATAGCAGGTATGAAAACTACTTAACTTTGTCTGGTTTTTATTCTGCTTGGGAGGGCGAAGACCTGGGATGAATGGGGGGGGATCTGATGGCGGTTTTGAGACTTTTCCCTAAATTTCCTATTTTGACAACCTGTTGATTCAGAACTCCTCGTCAGAAATGTTTGACCTCGTTATAACTTCATCTTTATCAATTTTCAGATTGCAACAAGATAGGCCCTACATATACTGTTTAAACTAGTAAATAAAATCTAAAGCGATTGGATGTTTAACCAGGCGTGTCTTGATTCCCGGGTTTGAATTATTTTGTATCAAAGTTCTTTGACTTAACGTTTGTTTTTTTTATGTCATACATGTGCATATCTCAGACCACCCCCTCACACACGCACACGCATGCACGTACGCACTAGTACGCACGCACGGTCGTGCACACCAACACACGCACTCACACATGCACATAAACAAATGTGCACATTTTCCCGAAAACACGAAAAGGTTGAACATTTTAAACTTACCAATGAAAGAAAGATCTTTGGGAGTCTTTTGTTTCAATTTGATCTGCTCCGTAAGGAGTGAGACAAGCACGAACCCCTGCTGCTCCAACTGTACAAAGGCTTAGACCAGCTACGAAAAGTATCACTTTCGCTTCCTGAAATATGTTTATGCCAATTTCTTGTTGTAATTAATGAACATCAAGTAATGAAGTATTCCAATGAATAATACAAAGAAATAACTAGTCAGACAGTTAGTTGGTAAATTTTCATTAAATTTCAATAATTAAAATCAATGATAAAGAAATTGTTTAATATAAAATTTAAAATCTATAAAATTACAGTAAAATAACTAACTAGCCGTGTGCAACTAATAATGGATTGTGTGAGACAGAAAGGAGAAAGTAATAAGGTTGAATAACAACAAACCATAATTACAGTTTTATTATAAGTACTCTATGCATCAAAAAGTAAAAAGTCTACAATCAAACATGCGCGCGTTCGCATGCCGCACACAGACAAAGACAGAGACAGAGAGAGTTTCCGTCAAAAATTTCTACTACATCAGCAACTCCGCAATTCTCTTACCTGCACAACGCCACTGACTCCAGATATGGTAAAAAGGAGAGAGCCTAAAATATATTTAGTCGTCTGTGATCAGCTTATTGTATGAAGGGTAACGTTGTTTAAAAGGAACATTCTTAGAGATGATAAAATGAAAAATTCATCGTGTGTGTGTGTGTGTGTGTGTGTGTGTGTGAGAGAGAGAGAGAGAGAGGTGCATTTCTTTAAAGTACAAACTGAGTATTTAAAATACTAGGCCTACTTAAACGTCATTCTTTTTTTTTTTTTTTTTTTTTTTTTTTGCCTTACCTAATATATAAATAGGAAAGAAGCTAGCCAAAATCTTCTTTTTCCCTAGAAGGGTGTCTGCGATTATTCCTGCCACCAGAGGCAAGAAGAATGCTGTACCTAAAAAACATCATAACAATATTTTCTAGAAAATGGATGGGCTATGCGTCTTAACGCCATTCTCATCTACAGGTTTACAATGCGTGTTAGACCATTATATGCAGAGATAAAATATAGCTTTTTTTTAATTCCAGCAATTCCTTTATAAACACGATGATATCCTATTAAAAACTGTTGAGAAAATTTCGAAAAAAAAAGAACTTACTTTTAATCGTTTTCGAGCTCAGATTTTCTTACAGCTAGATTTGAGAATCAAATTCCCCTTCTCCACTATGAGAGTGGCTAAAAAATTAAAAACTGCTCCATCCTCTCCACCCCACCCCCAATTTTCTTTTTTTTTTTTTTTTTTTCTGGCCTTAGGTCTCTGACGACAAAAAAAAACATGTTTAAATCTCCAAGAAATATAAGATCTTCTATTTAAAGGTTTAACACCTTGTGCGACTTTTGATGAAAGTAGGCCGCAAAAGTGAAAGCAGAGAGCTGGTGTTAACTAGTACGAAAATGCCTCGTCATTGATTCCGCTGTGTTTCGCCCACAATACAACTAGCAGCGCTCTATGAAGCTGCTGCCAAATTACTGCCCACACAGGTGTGGGTGTTGTGGACTTAAGGGTGGCTTAAGTCGCACCATTGCATCGCAGGTATTCTCAAGGTGAGACATTAAATATCCCCTCCAGCCAGGCTGACTCAATGTAAACGAGAGATGGCATCTCCTACGTAATAATCAATATTTACAGGCTACATAATGTGCTAAATTGGAATTTCTTTATTGTGCAGTCTGTGGCTAAAGGACTCCCCCCCCCCCCCCCATTACACACACACACACACACGCACACACACACACATCATCATCATTATCATCCCAATACCATCTCAGTCATTGTACGTGTCAGAAAGCAGATCTGGGGGGGGGGGGGCAGAAGGATAAAATATGCCATTGTTTTTCTCTATCTCAATCACTGACTGGACTCCACAGCAGTTCGACTAGAACTACGGGATGGAACTACTTGTCCTTACCTTGAAACAATAGATTAACCGTAAGTCCCTGAACGCCAATGTCTTTAAAGAGCTTGTCACTAAAAGATACCAAGTTTATCGTAATGGAATAATACGCCAATCTCTCAAAGAAAACCACCAGCAAAACGCATAGCACTCCTTTGCCTGCCGGCGTGCGACACGAGAGACGTTGTTCATTGTCTCTGGCGATAACTCCTGCTACGTTGATGAGTGGGGAGTTCTCGTTAAGATTAGCAGTAGCCATGTTCCCCGTTTAATACCGCTTCAGCGTTAGGTATAACACCAATTCACTGGCTCTTACATCTCACATGTTCTCTTCTCAACAGGAGTATACTATATGAAGATCCGCCTCGACTGCGCGTTGACCTACTTGCGGTTATTCATTAATGCGGAAAAATCTTGCCATAAATAGAACAGAGATGTACTACATGTGGGTGTACCTGATATTAAGAACAATTTGTATTTTACTGCAGGTCATATGACACGGAAGGTGAACTATTCATTTGGCTTTGAAGTGAACATATTTATTTATTTTTCAATTTTTAATTTAATTTAATTTAATTTAATTTAATTTAACAGGGAAAATTAAAGAGTTTTAAGTACTGTTGCTTCGTCACTTGGCAAATATCGTTGATTTTTCTCATACTACATCAATTTCACTTTGTATCGGATGCAGTACTTACAAGCATCTTAAATCATGATATAAAGATTTAAGACTTTGACCATCCCGTAAAGTTGCGCGTAATTCAATGACTATAACATTCAACGCTGACCGCAGCTGGGAAGTTCGCACGCTATTTATAAATCACGTGGACAATGCATTGGGCTCTGAACTCACCATTGTAACGGCTATTACGGAACCACGTGAGATAGCGCAGGCGTATTGGACTTCAGTGCACAATTAAATTTTTCTACTTCTATGTAGACGGCGAATGATTTCGTTCACTGTGATTCTGCTGCATTATATGATGGAAAAACTGAATATATGCACGGCTTATCAGGAAAGAGAACTGCCAGCTGTTAAATCACGTAATAACATTTTTATTGTGTAAAATAGCATTTTTTTTTAGTATAATGACAACAGTAGGTCTCAAAGACTGTTATGTTTTACTTGCAAATTTACCCTTCTGTCATATACATATTATTTTCAAAATCAAACATGAACTGCATTATATTTATACAAAAAAGAATCCAACGATGATTCATTGTTTGTTTTTAGATAATAACAGCTGAAACTGTTGTATGTCTGCTGGGATAACAACGAAAGTACATTGTATGGAAGCTAAGGACAGGGATAATCACTCTCTTTTCTTGCCCATGCAGGTTATGTTTCTTTACTGGAAATAACATAGGCCTATCCCCGTGTTTTTCGTTTCATGCCACCAGCCTTCGAATGAATTCTCCTACAGCATCGAAATATGCCGAAAAACTGTAAACGTTTATCGTCTATCATAAACAAACCTGTGTCTAGGTCAGATAAATAAACGATGTGTCAACATAAACATATCTATCATAAGCAGGGTAAACTATTTGAACCCTAACACACCGGGTTGATTTCTAATATCGCCAGGGATATTAGTAAATCTACAATTAAAAAAATAAATAAAATAGCATATATGTACTGTTATTAGTACAAATTTCTTCTTTAAAATACGCAAAAGAAGGCTCTGAAATACATTATCTTACAGACACTTTTTTCAACATGAGCAAACTATGTTGTATCTCTTCAGTATTTCATAAGACATGCGTTTAATCGTATACTAAACTAATTGAAGTCAAATAAAATATATCACAGCTCGCTTTGAAAACAAATACACTATAATCTTGGACCTTCGACTCTGATGTGTCCAAAGTCAAATTATTGTCATTCAGAATCAAGTAACGGAGGCTAGTCTACCACATGTATGCAATTAAATTCAAGTGCGTGACTATCAAAACGCATCACACTAATGCAATTGAAATCAGACAACATACGTGTCACCTTTTCTTCTGTTCCTTTGCTGCCTACAAATAATCCTATTCTCTCTGATGCTAAAAAATGTATCCCAAGATGCAGGTACGGTCCCCTTTGCTTTCTTAAACCTTAAATCTTCAGACGAAATAACTTTGTCATTATCTAGAACAAGTCATTTTCCGTCAACTCTGCTTTTTTGAAAAAAACTTTTCGAAATGGTTAATTTCTTTCTGTTTGTTATAGTGGAAAAGGTCTTTTCTTTCAAGGTAAAACCTTGCTACTAGATGCAACCACAGGATAAATGATGATTACCACCTGATAACGAGCTCCATCTGCCCGGGTTTTCAGT